GTATCGTGGATCTGTAGGGGTTTTAATTCAGTGGGCTTTGCAGACTGTATCCCATACTGTAGGTCCAGGAGAATGTGAGTGAGATCTCAGACCATTAGTACTTGCAAGAGATGTCATGCTGGAGATCAGGTATGATGAAGACTGAGAACTGCTACAGACAGGAAGACCTTTTCCATGAAGACTGGAGACGAACTGAGGTTCACCGATTGCCTGGAACAATAATAGAGCTCACATTAAAAGAGACTCTCAAGAAGACACATTTCAACAAGGAAGTGGTTCCTGGTTTAGGTTTTTGGCTGGAATACCATTGGGGGTAATCATCTGGTGAAGAAAGATGATCCTTCGCCTACACGCTAGTCATCTTGATTGAAAACTTTTCTCAGGTGTGCAGCAACACGGGTCGGCTCAGCCACCAGCAAAGATCCTCTCTGTAACAGGAAGCTCACTCACACCAAAAACACAGCAAAACCCCTAAAAGAAAAGAACAAATATGACTAATTGGACTTCATTCTTCAATACCTGCTCAAGTTAAGTAGTCTAGTCCTGAAGCAAAATCCAGAAGCATATTTTTACAAAACAGACTGTGTACAAGTTTATCTTTGAGTTACAGAATTAGGTTGGAGCCAGTGGACCCAGATTTGTTGAACCAGGAGACCAACAAAGGAGAAACCTAACCTCTCTGGCTGAGCCACCTAGTAGCTACAGATACAAGCAAAGCATTCCTAAACATTTGAGAGTGCCTCTGTTTTCCAAACTGGAAATCAACAGAGGTTACAGGTCTGGTAAAGTTATGGAAAAAATTTTTAGCTAAAGAAATTGTTTTTTTTTAATGATTCCTGATCATGTCATGTGTTTTGCTGTTGAGTAAAACCATCAAACAGGGACCAATAATGACCACATCAGAATCAGAATCAAGTTTATTGCCAAGTAGTTTTGCAAGTACAAGAAATTTGACTCTGTGTTGATGGTGCAGACAAAATATATATATATATATATATATATATATATATATATATATATATATATATATATATATAATCTATAGCTATATGTAATATAAAATCTACAATGTACTATATGCAATATATAGTGCATATCTATATACTATATATACAGTAGACTGTGCTTTAATGTAACGCAGAGGGTCTGGTGATGCAACACTGGTGTAGCTTGTAGCTTCTGAACGGGGAGGAACTTTGAAAAAAAGTTAGAAAAAAAACTTTATTTCAATAACAGTTTAAACACTAAAATTACTGCAGTGTTTATGGGTTTTCAGATATACTCAATGTGTTTGATTGGTAAAATATTGCTATTCTATTTACAGTACTCCTGAGCCACCCTCTGCTTAGGATTAGCTCATAAATGGATCACTCTGGGTGCAACAATCCCGTTGGGTGTGCACGCACCTTTACAAAAACAAAAACAAGTTCAACATGGTGCATTATTTACCATCCTTTTTTGATTTATTGTAATTTGTATTTCTCTTTAACATAAAATACATCAAATGAATTGAAGTTTGTGGCTATAATACATTACAAAACATGCATCATAAGGTTAAGTATTAAATTAACAACTTAGTAAAAGCACAAATTATGTGGAGAGATATATAGCACTATCTTATGGGTAGCTGATGTTATTGCAAACTAAACTCAATATTAACGTCAAGGTCTACTATTATGTTCAGGGTGGATCTTAACCTCTGATTGTATGTTTGGTAGAAGTGTATCAGTATTCATCTTCAGATGTTCCTTTAAATTATTTGATGGATTATGATAACATTTTTTCCCAGTATTCAGATTTTCTAAGAATACATTTTTTTTTATCTGTTCGCTGTAATCCTTAAAATGAAAAGAAATAGATATTTAACTCAGTGTGTAATGAAGCTATATAATATATGGTATTTCTTTTTAAAACAAACACAAAACAAATAATGTTAAACAATATTCTAATTTTGTAATAGTATTTTTTCTTTCATTTTAGGTATTTCTAAAATAACCTGCGCCCCCTCAAAAACATTATTTTCATAAATTTATTTTTTATTATGATTGGGTAAAAAAACAAAAACAACAACACCTTCCATGATTTTTAAAAGCAATTCATGGAAGTAAATTTGGTTTAAGATGATAAATTTGTGTTATTTTAAATGACCAAAAATATAATTTTTTTTAGATAACAGGAATAAGAACATTACACACAGAAACATATCTGAAAAAAACCCTTTTTGCACTGACTATGTTTATCCTCTAGAGGGCGGCATTGTGCCGCTTTAGAGGGAGCTGCATTGGTCTGGTGGTGAAAAAAAAGATTTTTTTTTTTTGTTCCTATTTGGAATTATAGGAAGGGAATTTTGATCCATTATTTTTGAAAGCACAAAACACATTTTGTAAATGAAAATGCAATCCAGAAAGGAAACTTTGAAAAACATCTTAATTAGATTGGGGTTTTTTTCTCCTAGAATATTTGCTGTTATCTTAGATTTTATTGTTTTCATTTCTACATTTCATTGTTTCAATTCTATAATAGAAATTGTATATTTTCAGATTTTATCTTTTAAGTATGTTTTTCTATATCACATTTAAAAAATGAATTCTTGATTTGCGTTTTACAGATTACATTGCATACATTGCATTTGTATTGGTCTGCATGAAGATTAGCAACAATACTTTTATTTTTAAGAGACTTTGATCTCTAAAACATGTAACACATTAAACTGAAAAATAAATGTCAAAATATTAACATTTTAAAATGTAAATTCTGTAAAAGAAATTAAAAATACATTTAAAAAAATTCAACTATAATTCAAATATGAAAACAAAAAATCAAATTTTAATAAAATATATAATCATATATATATATATATATATATATATATATATATATATATATATATATATTATAACAAGTAAGCCTGATGGAGCTCCTTAACTACATTTTTTTTAGAAAAACTTTTGAGTCTGGAACATTTTGTTTTGAAGAATATTTTTTTTATTTAAAAAATTTCTAAATCACTATTTTATTTTAATAAATGATAATTCAGTACATTTTTNTATATATATATATATATATATATATGATCCAAAGTTTGACCTCTGGAATTGTATTTTCTTTTTCTTTTTATTTATTTCCGTGTTTTTGCTTGCAACAATAACTGAACAAAATTCACTCCATAACACTGACATCAGAGTAAAAACCAAACATATAAATGTACAAAATATTGAAGATTTCTATTTGTTCCCCAGTTAAACAGTAGAGTAATCAAGGACCTGCTTAAACTCAGCAGACCAGGCTAAATGAACAGTTCATTAAGTGTCTCCTTTGCAAAATTATTACATTAGATAATCTGACAGAACTTCCGGTAAAACTTCACAATAAGAGCGCAGAGTTTAATGTACCTTGATATTTTAAAATAAAGATATTATCAGAGTGATTTTGTTGTCAGGTAATTGTTAATATATGAAAAATTAAAATGTTTTTGTATATTCCACTTGAGAGTATTACTGCTGCCACCACTGTATTAGAGGGAAATAAATGGTAGGGGGGCCAATGATTGGCTAAGGGTGGCCATGGCCACCCACCTAGCTCCGCCCCTGGCTATAACTCATTTTACAAACTCTTTTCTCTAATGTAAAAATTTAAATTTAGCTAATTTTTGCATAGCGCAGATCATGCACGCTCTTTTTAATCATTTACAGCCCTCCTGATTGGTGAGATCCCAGTCTAGGAGGGTGGGGCAAAGTGGAGACTGATTAGCATACCTATCCAGCCTGATAAATGCTGCAGCAGCTTCACCTGAGGGACTGAGAGTCCTAAACCCTCCAAGGAGAAAAGGAATCCTGGCACCAAGGGGAAGGAAAGCTGAAGCAATCAGAGGCCAAAGCTCTGAGCAGTTACCTCCCCTCACACAGGTCCAGCCACTGACTGCGCTCTGTGCGTAAATGCGCACAGCCAAGAACCTCTCCAGGTGGACCGAGGCTCAACCTATCAGTGGCTGGTGACTCTCACGCCCGGTTTTCACTGACCTGAGTCCGCTCCGACCCAGATCTCCGGGTGACCCATGAGGTTAGAGGCCGCAGCCAGGATGGATGTGTTCAGGAAGCTGTGGAGGGCGCGGAAACTGATTGTAGTGGTGTTCATCCCGCTTTCCCTGCTGCCCCTGCCGCTTATCCACCCAACCAGCGTGAGTACAACCTATATATGTTTATCTTTAAAACATACAATTAGTTGTAGATTTTTCAGATATAAAAGTTAGTAAGAGATATTGTAGTCATTTTATAAGTTCAGAAACATCTCAATAAATTCATAGGATCTGATTACTACCTGCAGATGGTATTTATTGGCTGGATCAGGCTCTAGGTCTCTTATGGTGTTAGTTACAGTGTGACAGTGTGAGTGAGGCAGAGGAGGAATCAATCAAAAGGCACACTGTCCCAGGCTGTCCCAGTCCTCAGCTGATCAGGCCTGTTTGTGCAGGGAGACATCCCCACATGTTGATGAGACGGAGACCAGTTCTGGTTCTTAAACATGGGGATAAAAAGGAGCTTGATTTTGGTTTTATTTCTTTACAGTTAGTACATTTTGGTTGCAGTCTTAGTTTTAAGAATGTGACTTAACAGTGTGACTTAGGTTTTAAGAATTTGCTTAATTTCTTTGTTACAAAGAGTCCTGTCAGTTTAGGGCTTTTTAAGATTAAAATAATAATAATAATAAAAAAAAAGGAAAATAATTTAATTATAATAAACACTAACTTGGTGGAAAAATTCCCAAATAAAAAGAAAAAGTTTGAGAAGTCCGTATCAGATCTACTTCCATATAAAAAGAATTTTCTGGATTGTATATAAGCAAAGACCTGATAAAGTTAACTCTTCTATAGATAAGATGATTGGTTCCAGTTTACTGACATTTATTGTATAGAGCTGTTACTGATTGGATTTTTTAATTCGATCTCATTGGCTGTTTTTCTTGCAATGAAATTAAATTAAGAGATCTGAGTTTGATAATAATAGAAAAAAGTTATTTCTTTTTTAGATTAATCTCTTTATGTGTGTGATAAATTCTAGGAAAAGCTGAAAAATGGAAATAGGGAGAGTGAATTGTAAGTTTTTGTGTTTATGAAGCATTTTAGTTATTGGGTTCTACTGTTTTGGCTTTCATGTTGGTAATCCAGCCATCTTTTAGAAGTTTCAGAACTACACCTGAATACTTAATTCTCTCTATGACCGTACATCTATGTATGGATATGTCAAGATTTTACAGAATATATTTAGTATTAAAGGCTTTTTGTTAGAATAGACTTTTTATATGAAGTATAACTTTTTTATTCTCCCTGTGGAAATATAAAATCCAAAAAAGAGAAAATGTTGTTATATTAGTATGGAGTGAATTTTGTTTCATTATTGTATAAAGCATAGAACATATTATATAAGTGGAACTTTGAAAAAAAAAAAGAAGAAATTTTTTCTAAAACTTTGTAAAACTTCTTAATAAAAAATGTTTAAGAGTAACTGCTTTTTTCTTAGATTGAGTTTTTTCGTTTTTATCTCACTTTTTAATTTTTTTTAAAAGTTTTTTTAAAGATTTATTTTTTTCAATATCTGTTTTTAGATACAAACTGTATATATTTTTTTATTTCATTTTAGCAGATTATGTCACTTCAGCCACAATATGAACACTCCCTCTTGACCAATAAGAATGTTTCTAATGTCCAGCCGGCCAATAGAAATTAGAAATGAATCTTCTCTCTTCGCTCCATAGGAAAGCTCACTCTCAGAAGTGAGGGGGATGTGATCTGGAAAAGGCAGTTTGAAAAGAATGCAAATTTTAAAACTTAGAGTAAAACAGACGATTGAAAATTAACATTTAAATAAATATATTTTTGAAAATGATGTAAAAATTTGTAGAAAAAAAAATAACATTTGTAAAACAAAAATCTGAAAAGATGCTCTCAAAATCTCAGTTTTATGAAGAAGTTTAATTTCTGGATGTTTATTTATTTATTTTTTTCACTTTGTGTGCAACAATAATGGAACAAAATTCACTCCATATTCATCCCATCACCTTGTGCGGATGTCTTATGTTACTATAGATATTTTCTGGGTTTAGAGGTTAAATGTTGGTTATAAGAACATGCAGAGTTCACTGAGAGAAAATAATGTTCCAGTTACTGCTGTCATCATTTTCCTGCCCATACTGAACTGTATAAACCTCACGTTGATGGATATTTATATTCAACAAAGTTACTTCTCGGCGATCCCCCAGAGAAACATACACACAGCAACTGAGATCCACCAGAATATCTTACCAGGGAACTTCACCATTTTTCCAGTTTTATGTCTTTAGCCGAAAAATTCGGATTTCTTTAGAAGAAATCGGCTCTGATTGGAGGATGTTTCAATTAACCAGCAGACTTGTGAGATTGTATGTTCCTGAAATTATGCAATATTAACTAGATATATAAACAGACAACCCCGTCTGTGAGTAAACATAAAATCACATTTTCTTCTTGAGCTATCTCAATTATAATCTTTATGTGGCTTTTTAAAATTATTTAATAAGAATTTTATCCAAAGCTTATGTGTTTTACTTTCTGTCAATTTTGTCAAAATTATCCTCTGTGACCCCACTTCCACTTTGTGAGGTCAGTGGAGTTGAATGCTTTACATGATCTATAGCCACAGGATGTGACCATTAAAGCACACAAAAAAAAAATCCCTACAGAAAGAACAAAAGAAAAATAAATTAGCAAAAAAAAAAGCAATTAAGTTACATAATGAACCCAGCTCCATGCTGGATTTTGGGCCCCACGTGGCTTCGTTACGACAGCGGGGACCTCAGACTGTGCCAGGAATGCGGTTCTGAGTGATCCCTCTTTAGTATGTGTGTGTTTGGAGGGGTACTGTGTCCAGCTGCAGAAGAACAGAACATCTGTAGGATAGAGTCAGGGCAGGTCAAAGAGCCACACAATCAAAGAACAAGCGTTTGATACTCAATTCTTCAGATATTAAAATATTAAATATGCTTAACCTAACTAATGCTCGGTGTTTTGTAAGAGTCTAAGGGCTAAATGTGTAACATAAAGCTTAAGGGATACAATGATTGATAATATAAGGTTTAAAAAAAGACAGGACACACAAGAATTTACTAGTATTTTGTATAAATCTTAAAATTGCCCCTTTTTACATTTTCAAAACGAAAGAAAAGTCTGTTTAAAAGGACCTATAATTAGCTTAGCCTGGTTCATGCTTCACCACTCCGTAACTTGACCCCCCCTCTTTTTTTTTATTTATAGATTCAAGATATTTATACCTTTTTTCTTTTCACTTAAGAATTATCTTGTCTAGCTAATGTTGTAAAGTAAAGCAAGGCAAATGTAGTCTAGACTAATTTAAAAATGACCAGTGTAGCTTTAGCATTTGTAGCAGCTAACCGCTAGCCAGTGTCACCAGTGTTTACAAACCATATCTACCTTTTGTGTCACTTATAGTGACTTATACCTTTTTACATTACGCGTAAAAAGCTGACATAGAAATTCAGGTGACTCTACTGCATTTTAGAGTCACCTCTGTAGCTGAGGGTTGTCAGTTAGCATAACCAGTCTCAACTAGCCAACTTTGTTTCCCCAAAGAACCATTTCCTTTTTTTTTTGTAAAGATAAAAGCATCAAATGCCAAAGCAACAGATTTTGGAGGCTAAATTTGCCGATTTTATGCAAGGGGTTCAGAATTTAGGTCACTCGTATTTTACTGAACTAAGTCAAAATTTTACTGGAACCAAATTGCAGCAAACAAAGCAGATTTCCCTTTGACAAAAAAGGTGCAAAAAGATTTCATTCTATGTTTCTAGATTTGCTAATTTAGAGAAATCTGAAATAGGTTTTTTGTTAATTTTTGTTAATGTTTAGTGAAATCTGACTTTATTCTCAGAAATCTGACTAATTCTGACTTAATTTCAGAATTAAAAGTTAAATTACTAAGGATTTATCAGTTTTATCATCTGGGATTATAATCTAAAGTAGAAAATTGTAAGTGGTTGTAATTCTATTTGTGAGATTGAAGTCAGCATTTTAAGATGAAAGGCAAAAAACAATAGCCTTTTATCTTTAATTAAATGGCCGTTTTTTTGTTTTCCCCAGTGGCCTTAAACCGCTTCCATACTTCGAGAGCTAACTGAAGAAAAAAGAAAAAAAGTACTATTGGTAAGGCTATAATATTCTAGATACCATCCAAGATATTAGAATAAGATGCTTTAATTAAATTATATTGATGATGAAAAACAAGGAGAATGTGAGGAATATGAAGGTTCATGAAATTCGGTGTCATCATTGCCGTATACAACAAGCTTTGTAATTTCATAGTCTCCTAAATTGAGCATTGTTATGACAGTGTAAAGGGCAGATTAGACTGCTGCAACCGCACACATCAAATGTCGCTTTCATCTGGTTGCGAACCAGTTTTGCTGGTATGCTTCTGCAACGCTGGTCTGGAATTTCTAGGGACGCACAGCAGTTTTCCCACCAAAGCTGTAGGGGGAGCCTATTGGAGAACTCGCGAGAACTTCGGCGGATGGTCACGAGAACTTTTTCAGCGGCCCCGGCTGAAGTGTTTTCCAAAACAACATGTCTGATGCATCGTACAAGTGGTTGTACATCCTTGATCAACCTTTCATCGTGGTTATCCATTGTTGTTATTGCTCTTCGGTTATTAAAAATGGCGCGCCCCGGCACCGAATCGAGAAGGATGACCACACAGACAGCCGGAAAGGCATACCAAGGACCAATCACAGCTGCTTTTTGTCTGCGCACTTCTGCTTGAGGTCTGCACGAGTTTGCGACAGTCCTGTAGTCAGGATTGTTTTTAGGTGCGGGACGACGGTTGCAGAATCTCTGCGCAGGGGGAATGGCTGTGCACAGAGACAGATTTGACGGTTGCAGAGGCTATGCGTCAGAAGTATAAATTGGCCTTAAAGGGCGGATTAGATTTCTGCAACCGCACACATCAAATGTTGTTTGGGTCTGGTTGCAAACCAGTATTGCTGGTATGCTTCTACACGGTCTGTCTGGAATTTCTAGGGATGCACAGCAGTTTCCCGCCAAAGCGCAAAGGTGATCTTATTCGAGAACTTGCGAGAACTTCGTTTTGGCAGAGCCCTCTGCATCTATATATAATTTGTCTGAGGCATCGTACAAGTGGTTGTACTTCCGAACCTCCTCGATTGAGCTTTCGATGCAGAGGCTATGTGTCAGAAGCATAAATTGGCCTTAGGAAAATAAAAGCATGTAAGAAATATCTAGTTGTTCTGTGGAATAAAATGTAAATGTGATGCAGTGATGCCCTAGGACCTACCTACTGGATTCAGCAGTACAACTTCTGTTTTTAGTTGTTTGTGTTGCTGATTTTACAATTTTTCCTTACTTCTCCTACAGAAAAAGCTGAATATTTGACCCCTTTGCGATTAGGTATCCTGTTAGCTTTGTTAGTTTTAGATCACAGGGTTTTTTATCTTTTTAAACGCCACTGGTACTTTGAACATATTTCAGCAAGAAATATTTCAATAATATTGTTGATGCTCTAAATGAAGGGCATTAGTGTGTGGTAACACAAGGAAATGACTTAGCTCTTTTGTTAGAATGTTTGACCTAATCTGTGCTTTCTATGGAGTTAATTCTACAACAAAAGATGAAAAAATGTGTGCATGAATCCTGTATGTTACTGAGAAATGGAAGTTATCCAAATGTGGTGAAAAAGAAGAATCCTGTTTTGACCTCTAACCTCTTATGAGTCCTTAGTGTAGCTTACAGCAGTACCAACACATTTGCATTTAAGTGGATGATTAACGTGCTTCGTTACTTGCTATCTTTTGCCTTGTTGCTTTTTTATCTGGCTCTGTTCACAGACTGAGATAGTGTTTAATCAGTCTCATCAATCAGTGCTTTTTAAAGCAATGCGTGTTTTCCACTGTTCCCATTTCCTTTACTGCTTCTGGATAACAGTCGTCTGATGAGATAATCAATGAGATGTTTAGAAGGAAATAGTTTGGTTTTGTAATAAAGTCTTGGTGTACTAGCTGGATGTGTTTTAGGAGAATTAACTCAGTCTCTATAAAATGGGTTCTGTGTTTAATGTAATTACATTCTTCAAAACACTCTTTTGTTTTGGTAACATTATACTTATTTTTTAAGCAAAGAAAGTAATTAAAATATTAACACTGGAAAAACAGTCTAGAAATAAGTAAAAAAAATTCTGAAGTTAAGTGCATTTATCCTTAATTTGAGTATTTAAATTAGATGATTCGCAAATGGAATGAGTATTTTTACTCTTAAAATAAGATATTTACTGTAGATAAAATGCACTTGAAATAAGAAAATGCATTGTTTTCTTATTTTAACTGTAAGTTCCATTGGCAAAATGTCTCTTTTACCTCCTCAATTCAAGAAGAAATGCACTTATTTTAAGAAATAATGACTTATCTAGATTTAGATTTTTTGGGATCAAAGTTGTTATAATCATAGTGACTTTATAGCATGGTGATCATTTTGATTGCTATGCTTTTAGCATAATGAGTTGATTATGTCTATTATGACAAAAAAAAAAATGTAAATCTGCAATTGTGAGATAGAAATGAAATTATATTATTTACATGTACATAGACATAGTCCAACAAGCCTTACCAGTAGCTTGGACCAGACCATGGAATTGACTTTAAGCCATTTAACTCTGTATAAAAATAGGATTTTATTCATAAACTAGTGACCATTCACATCTTTTTACTCTAAAAGTACGTTGTTTTTTTTATAAATAAACATATTGTTGGTTATATTTATAATCTTGCCTTTATTTACAACCAAGAGATTCTTATGTTCCAGTGAGTTCAACAGTCATGACAGCAACTCTTTCGTCAACTAACCCATATTAACCTCTCATTTGTGATGCGCCCGGTATAATCACAAAGGGTTACAGCTCTTAAATTGGGAAACAAAAGCAAATCAAGTCACTGATAATGAAGGACAATAGAGCAGTAATCAGGATCAATAATCAATCACCAGTGCCTGCCAATTTACCTCAAGATTAGCTTCCATTTCCTTACTGTGTTTTATTTTTTGTTAGCATCTTTGAAACATGTTTCCTTTTTAAACATTTAGCACCTAACGTGACAAGTCTCAAGCAACAAAGAGAGCGAAGCTGCCAAAGAACAAAAGTCTTTGCAAAGCTGGGCTGTTTTGAAGGGATTTAAAGTTTAGTTGCACATTGGTGTCTAAGAAGGCTTTTGAGCGCCAATCTGCTTGTTATGTTTTCAGGGGTTGTTATGTTTTCTGGGCTCTTTCAAATTTTTTAATCTATACTTTCCTGGTAGAATGGTCCAACGTAAGGCCAGAATGAGCTGTAAAAAAGATTTATTAGCATTTCATAGAGGAATTTTACAGGCTCAGCCTATTTTATTTAAAGTTTGCAAACCCACTTTCCTTACATTTAACAACTACTCTACTTTGTGTAATCGCTTAGTTAAATAAAACCTTTTGCAAGGCATGAGGATGTTTTCAGAGAAGATTAATAAGGTGTACTTTTGTTTAACTAAAATAGTAAAAGAAGATTAGAAAATGATGCCTTCTATCAGATAATAAATCAAACCTTTGCTGATTAGGGTAAACAAGGTGAGGATATCAGACATATCTGATGCTTTTAGCAATCTTAACATCTGCTTTAAAGAACAGAATTCTCTGATAATGCGTTGTTGTTGAAAATCTCTATTAAACCTCAGAACAAGCTCACATTATCCCAGGATTGTAACTAATCCTTAATGATGACGGTTATTACTAAGTCTACAGAGCCTAATGCTATCTGTGGAAGCACACTGTGTGCCACTCGACTAAAACACGAGGGAACTTGGTGAAGTCAGACCTCTTAGATCCCTGGTTATGGAGGATTTTTAAAATGCTCTGAGAATAAAAAAGCTGATTTACTATAAAGATGGTGCTTTAAAACCCTCCCAGTTTGTTTACCAGCATTTGAAATTGGAAAGATATTTCGCTACCCTGTTTATTCTTTTTTTTCCTTCCTTCCTTGTGTAATACTTTGTATCTTTCTTAAACTCTCCTTTCTTGCACCATCCCACCTCTTGTTGTTGTTGTTTTTTCCTAAAATTGTCCCTTTCTTCCATCTTGTATCCTTTCTACCCTGTTTTATTCCTCCCCACCTCATCTTAATGTCTGCAGGACGGTGTGTGTGCCGCTGCGCTCCCAAACCCTTTATTGTTAACAGTATGGGCTTTGCAATGGTGCAAAAGTGCTGTGTCAAGCAGAGCACAAGCTCTGCACAAGGCACCCCATTGCAAGCTCCATTCCACTATGCTGAACTCTCCCCAGTAAACCGTCAAAGTGCTCCACTCTACCTAGAAACAGTTGCTTGCTCCCTGGACCGGAGGGTTTTGTTCACTCACATCCTCTTCTTCCTTGTTTCTGTCAAGACTCAGAACAGAGGACCCAGAATCCAGGCATGACAGACAGTGGGAAAACTTAAAAGCATTTATTTAAACAATCACAGGGACATCTATAGGAGAGAAATAAAGGTTAGTGACCATGATAATCTGATCCAGGTTCAGTCCACAAAGAATCCAACAGGAGTCCAAAGACTGGTCAGGCAAACAGATCAGACAGGGGCAGGCAGGCTCAAAAGTCTGAATACAGAAACAGGTCATCAGGCAAACAGAACACTATTAGAAACACTCGAAAACTCTCTACACCAAAGGCTCAAGAATAATTGACACTGATGGCTGGGATCAAGGAGTTTAAATAGAAGCAGGAGCAGGTGGATTAGATGAGCAGTGATGAGTAATCAGGCAGAGTTAGACAGGTGAATGGAATGAGCAATTAGGCCAGCCATCAGCAACCAAAATCATGACAGTTTTTCTTTATTAACCAGCAGAGCTAGTGCTTGCTTTTAGCACGGGACTGAGGCATATTTGCTGCTAACTACAACAATTGACCTACTACTCAGATAGCTCCATCTTTTTATTGTTTCTTCTTTTAATTTCCCTTTCTTACTCCTTTTGTTTATTCTTTTTGCTTGTTGTTTCTTCCTTCAACTGTTCTTCTTTTTTCTATTCTTTTTTCAGGTTGCATATATGACTTAAACTTATTATGTGTAATAAGCGGTGATCTGGTTGAATTTACCATTGAAACCCATTGTGAGCTTTGCTAATCTGCTTCTGAAAGAGCAGGGGTCTTTCCAAAAGAAATGAAAAACTCTTTGAATTGTTCAAACTGTGGGAGAAACTTTGTAAAAATGAATCAATGATTCTTACGCCCTGATGTCTCTTATCTTATTTGTGAACTGTGTAGATTCCTAGTAGGATTGTTCATAAGAAAATGGTTATGATATTTGTACTCCCTGAGGGCGTTGCAATAAGTTTCTAGCCAAGAAAAGATTGCATGTTGGCATCTGTGATATTAGAATGACAGTATGCAGCCACAAGTAATAACATCATGAAAATTAACCAAGGAATAACTATTGAAATTGTTAAACATGAAAATTGTTTCTACATTTTCAGTTGGATAAAGATTTAAATGCTTGTGTTTTCTGGTTTGCAGGAGGCATGCTGTGCTTATGTGTTGATGGTGACCGCAGTCTACTGGGTGTCCGAGGCTGTTCCCCTTGGTGCTGCCGCCCTGGTCCCGGCTTTCCTCTATCCCCTCTTTGGAGTTCTCAAGTCCAGCGAGGTGATCATTGGTTTAAGTTCTTAAAATTCTTAAAAAGAAAAAAAATAGATGACATAAGTCAACCAAACGTTAATGTTGAGATTTTAAAGATGGAAGTGAAAACAGAAAGCATCAGTTCTTTGCTGATCAAGAGAAAAAGGTAAGGAGATGGGATACAAGTAAGGAAAAAGCACCAATAATAGGGGACACAGGGAGGTAACAGAGGTACTGCACTTTTAAAATGAAGGGTGAAAGTAGATTAGGTAGAACACAAGTAATAAGAGAAAACTAAGAAGGGAAAACACAACGATGGAATATGGTTTGGTTATGTTTGACTCACAAACAATCCGCTCAGTAAAACAAAACGTGCAGCTTTCATTCTGTGCGACCAACACCCCACTACATGAGGAAGTAGAGCAGTGATTCCCGACTTGGGGTACTTGCAAGGGGTGTTGGAAAATATTGCATTTCTTAGGTAATAAAATGAAATTGGGCTGGGATCTGTTTTATTTATTTATTTATTTTTATCAGCCAAAAAGTTTTTTTTTTGTTTTTTTTTTTTTTAGAGTTAACCTTTATCTTTGACTCACATCAAAAACCAAGCAGAGGAAGAGACTGGATGCAGAGAACAGCCTGGGAGCAATTGTTATTCACACTGAGCTATCAAACCAGTTCAGGTGTCTTGATAAAAACAAAGTCAAACTATACACAGTCTGACTATAAATTTTGTTCTGTATTTTGTTCCCAATTCATCAGGTTTAAATGTGATTATAAGGGAGTTACTCAGAAGATCTCCAGTTTTATAAATACAGGTTTATTATCTGATTTTATTTTGCATTTATTTCGATCCCTTTTTAAATTCCAGGCAACATATTTATGTTGTTTTTGTTTGAGATGGAAACATAAAATGCCTTTGAATTAGATGCTCAAGTTCAAAGATTAAGGAAAATAGTTTTCTTTTGTTTTACAATCACTTCTTATACTTTTCTCTGGGTAAGACAAAATGCCCAAAGGGGTACACAAGTCAAAAAAGGTTGGGAAACACTGAAGTAGGGGAGAAAGTCATTTAAATCTTTTTGAATGCCTCTTCATACCTTCCAAAACAGTTATTTCTATTTTGTGACAACCTACTAATGGTAGTGAAATTTCTGAGTTAAATCTTAAAAATTTTCATAGATGCTTACATTTGTGAACCCTCCCATTTACGAGCTTTTGCTTGCTCACCATTTTTTTCTGTCTGCATAGTTACACATTTTCCTAAGTGCTAGGGGGTGGGGGGAGAATGCACATTCAGGGTGAGAATGCACATTCAGAAGTAGACCTGACCTTTCTTTCGACTCAGAGTTTATCATCTAATAATATTTTGAGCACATAATCACCCCTTAAAATATATGTAAAACTTTATTTAAAAAAGTTTTAAATTATAACGTAAAACATTTGACAGCTTGAAATCAGAATAGCTTCCATTAAACTAGTAACACACGTTTTATTCCCAAATGTTAGTGAAATGTACTAAAAAGACGTTTTCTCTGGGGTAGAACACAGTCGAAGCTCATGGCTGTCATCAGGTCTCTTAGAAAAGCAAAACAATTTCTGGCAGGCTTTTTGTTTTCTATGACAAATTCTACCAGTGAATGTGGGAAATGATATTAGATGCTTTTAGTCTAATCTGACTAAAGTAAATTTGGTGAACTTTTTCTACAAAGCTGGCAGGAACTTGGACTATGAATTCTTAAATACTTTTGCAGCAGAAACTAAAGTATAGAGGTGGGATGTAAATATGTGTCTATTTTTTTTCTCCTAATTGGTCTACGAAATCCTGATCAGAAAGAATTTGGGTGAAAGGTCTTTCTGTGTTCGGCGTGTTCCAAGAATTCAGCTCTGCGTGAGTTTTTCCAGGGTCTCTCCGTGTTTCCATGCACTGATTGGATTTTCTTCCTGACATTTATTTGATTGACCTGAAGCCTCATTATCATAAACTATCACCGGTTACTTCTATTCAAACGCTGTATCTGGATACCATACTAATTCACTGCTTTTGGTCATTTTAGATTTCTGGGTTATTTTACATATTAAAAGAATATGATACCTGAGATAAGGTAAAACTGCTTTATGTTTGGGATGTTTCTTTAGCATTTATTTGAAGAGTTGTTTAACTGCTATCTGTAATTTTGTTGAGAAAACATGAAAAAAGATTGTTTTGTTTTTTAATAGTAATAGAAATACATCTTTAAATAATTAAAATTATAAACTGGCAGCTGGTTTAAAAATGTTAGTATTATGAAAATTCTACAAAGACATGTAATTAAATACATAATATATAATGAAATAATAAGGTGCAACATTTATTTATTTGTCTAATACTAGCAGTAGACATGCCGGTCTGTCATGCTGTAAGTGCCGTAAAACCTGACATTATCCAATGACAAGTGTCGTTACTGTATCAGTTGAATGCAAACGTGAGTTGTGTGTCGCTCATTATTTGCAGAGTGAAAGTCGCTCTTGTGCGACGATCCGTTCAGTTCACTGGTCACAAAAAATATGAAGGTATTCCGTGAACACCATTCATTGATAAAAAATTCAACTGGCAACCAACTAAACCATCTAAATTAATATATATATATCTATATATATATATACTTAGATGGTTGCCAGTTGAATTTTCTTGGGTTACAGACTGTAATATTTACAAACCTATACTTTGGTTCATTTTCCCGCTGGAAGGTGAACCTCTGTCTCTGTTTTAAATCACAAGAAGACTGACTGGTTTTGGTCAAGAGGCAGCATCCATCTTTCCCTGGAGTTGGACCGGTTTACTACTCTCTGTTGCTTAGAAAATAAATAAAAAAAACACCTCCACAGCATGATGCTGCCACCACCATGTTTCACTATAGGGATGGTGTTTTTTAGATATTGGGATGTGTTGAGTTTGCAACAGATGCAGCATTTTCTTGCTCCAAACATTAAATTTTAGTCTAATCTGACCAGGGCGCCCTCCTCCTGACCCTAACACCTGAATGTTGCAGCAGGAATAGAGACTCATCAGACCAGGCAATGTTTCTCCAATCATTTAATATCCAATTTTGATGAGCCTGTGTAAATTGTAACCTCAGCCCATCTGCCATAACCTTCAGTTCAGTCTGGCCATTCTCCTCTGAAATCATCAGCAAGGCATTTGGACCCACAGAACTGCCATTTGCTGGATGTTTTCTCTTTTTTTTTAACCATTCTCTGTAAATCCTTCAAATGTGAAAAATCCCAGTAGATCAGCAGTTTCTTAGTCAATTAAATCACCTTTCTTCCCCATTCTGATGCTCTGCCCATGTCTACCTGCCTAAAATGCATTGAAGTGTTCCCATGTGATTTGCTGGCTAGAAATTTGAGTTAGGAAGCAGTTGGACAGGTGTACCTAATAAAGTAGCCAAAGAGTGTATTAGCACTCTATAAACGACCTAATCCAATACCCAAATAGCACAAAGTTTACAAAGATTCTCCCAACACTGCAATTTGGCTCACACTAAAAACTGAGAGCTACTCCAAAATTACCCTCCATCGTATTGAAACAATGTTGCCAACAGTCTGACAGCATGTTAAAGCGACATGCCCTCTTTTAATACTTTTCTTTTTCTTCTAATGTACAGCATTTTAAATTGTCTTGCCGCTGAAAGGGGGTTAGGATTTCGACCCTCGTTATGTAGCTTAACAAATAGCATAACAGCTTAATCACATTATAATTTTGTTTTGGACTAGTATGAACCCTTTAGTTTATGCTTAGGATCTTTGATCCTTAGGCTGCCTTTCTGGTTAATGCACCCTCTTTCAGAGGGCAGGTTTGTTGTGGTACCACATGCTTTCCCTTTAAAGGTGTCATGTTTTATTGCACTCAAACAGAAAAGTTTTCACACCTTGATTTGTATTTCTTAACCACTTTGTCCCCTTCTCTTTAGGCTTTTAGGTTGCAAACAGGTAGATTTCATTTCACTACAGTAATAATGTGACTTTTGAATATAATTGGCTGAACATTAACTTCTTATTGTATATTTCTCTCATTTTACTTCAGCATCTTAGACTATTTTGTGCAGGTCTGTCATGTTTGAATGGTTGACAAAAGGAAATATAAGAAGGGGTGAAGGCACAGACAGATCAAATATTGGGGATCATATCATTTAATTTAATATATATTTCTGTTATACTTCACACTCCCCTATTAGCCTTATATAAACTATGAGCTGTACAGCTCATGTGACCGGAAAGCTGCCACGGCACTGTAGTTCGGTGGCACTGTAATCTCGTTTTAGTATTTTCTAAAAATATGCCAGCAGAGATTTATGCAACAATTTGCAGACCTTTATGGTCCTCCCTGTTTGAGCCCCGAGGTTTAGAAATAAATCTCTACCTGCTGTTATTTCACAGCTGAAACCAGCTGCATTAGTGGAAATATAGACTTCTCTTTAACCTCCAAGTTTGATATGGTTCACAGTTGTGAAACGCTGTTTTTAAAGTGCAGCTAGAAAATGCACTGAATACTCTTTCTACTTGTTAAAGTGGTGGATGTGATTTAGTAAACATGGAATTCAAGCACTGCCTCAATTCTCATTGCTGCTACTGCTGCATTGACACAGTACTTATTAGCCACGCTGATATTTGTTTCTTGGTATTAAAAATGTATTTTTTAAAATAAGCAAATATAATGAAATAAATTAACTGCATGAGTTCCTCAAATGTATATGGTTCCCTACATGATTTTAGTAGTTAAACTGTTATTTCTCTAAAGGAGGATCGAAAACTATGGAGGGCTGATGCTGACAGAATTAGAAATAAAAGCAGACATTTATAACTCAACCAATAAATAAACTAATACACTTAAAATTGACCAATCAATTAAAACGTGTTTCTTTTATGAGGATGTTCAATGTATTTACTTGACATTTTATATTGTGATTGACCTTCACATATTTTTCTCTGTTTATTTCCAATATATTCATAAAAATGTTGCTGTATCGGAAGCGATTATGGAGTATGTTTCCCAGTATTGGTATTTACTTTGAAATTTTAGTATAGTGACAACCCAGGTACAAAGTATAAGAATTATTATTTTACAGCTGTGGTAGACTTTTTCTTAATGGTAGAATTACATTTTTCCAGTCATATTCATATAAGAGTTTTTTAGGTTTATTCTTATATTTCTAGTTGTAAAACCTTCAGAAACATCCCTTTGAATTTGAATGGCATTTTTAAAATAATGTTCATGTTTTTATATATATATATTTTTTTTTATTTATCCATATTTTTATCCTAAGTGTATATATTATTATATTTTTTGCATGCCTAATACCCCAGTGTTTTTAGAGATTTTTATAATTTTATTTACCTATTTCATATATGTTTCATGTTGCATGATTGTACCATAAAAAATTCCTAGTTGTGAACTCCTTCACTAACAATGGCAATAAACCCGATTCTGATAAGAGGCCGAGAGAGTACCTAAAATTGTAGTCAAGCAAGAGTAACACTACCCCATCATATTTTAATTAGGTAAGAGTGAAAAGTAGCCATCCAAGAAATGACTAAAGTGAAAGTAAAGTACTGCTGTGGGTGAAAGGTTGGATACGCTCCAAACCACATTTTTTTAAACATAAAACTTATGAAACCAGTACCTCTAGTGCCATTTTTATATTATCCAGATGTAATGGTTGGTTCAAGTTAGCCTGTGTACCAAAACATAAAACACTCTGACATAAACAATAACTGTGTGACTAGCTCTAGTTTTAAAAAAAAGTTTTAGTTTTGTTGTATACATTCTGTGCATACAAAAAGACATTAAAGTTTTGTTTAAGTCTAAGAACTGTAATATAGTAGTTAGCGGTGCTCAGTAGCTAACAGGTTAGCCTCTTTTAGCTCGGTCAGTTAGCCATATTAAGCTACACTACTTTTGAATTCGTATCAACAACAACCGTTCGGTTTCTACAAGTAGAATAACTGTTTTATTTGTCTAAAATCTATACGAAAGTCATTTTTGTGATGTTCCATTTGTCCTCTTCTGCCCTCAGATCTTAATAAAAAGAATAAAAATAAACTGAGACTTTTTGTGTCCCCTTGTTAAATAGCAGAGCTCAGTCTTAAGGGCAGAATATACTTCTGCAACCGCACACATCAAATGTCGCTTGGGTCTGGTCGCAAACCAGTTTTGCTGGTATGCTTCTGCAACGTCGGTCTGGAATTTCTAGGGACGCACAGCAGTTTCCAAAGCGCTAGGGTGAGCCTATTCGAGAACTTGCGAGAACTTCGGCAAATGGTTATTTTCCAAAACAACATGTCTGAGGCATCGTCCAAGTGGTTGAACTTCCGAACTTCCTCAATCAAGCTTTCGTTGTGGTTATCCATTGTTGTTGTTACTCCTCGGTTTTTAAAAATGATGCGCCCTGGCACTGAATCAAGAAGGATGACTACACAGACAGCTGGAAAGGCATATGGAGGACCAATTACAGCTGCTTTTTGTCTGCGCACTTCCGCTTGAGGTTTACGACCGTCTGACGTGTAGTCAGGATTTTTTTTTAGGTGCGCGACGACGGTTGGAGAACCTCTGCGCGAGGGGCGTGGTCGCGTACAGAGACAGATTTGACGTTTGCAGAGGCTATGCGTCAGAGGCATAAATTGGCCTTTAGAAGGCAGTACTTTCCTTCAAAACTGACAATGATTGTTTTCTACTTTTGGCTACTTTAGATCGCCAATGAAATCTAAAATAATAGCAAATAAAAGTCATAAAATATGTTGAAACTCCAAAAGAGATTTGATCCTTAAGAAACGGGTGCAATACATTTTGTCCGAGTGGAGTTGTCATATCTTGACCTCATAAGAAGGAGCCTGAGCAGCTCTGGTATCTACATCGGTTTAAAGTTGTATGTACCAGATCTGCTCGGAACAAGGACAATTTGCTAACTAGCTTTGAGTCTCTGCTATATTGCTATACAGTGCTTTCCGCATTAAACCGAGGGGCACCAACTTCCTATTGAATGGTTATCCTAAACGTTACAGTATTAGAAAAAAACTTACTCCAAGCCAAGCGACATAGCTTTCTATTGGCCATGTGGGCTTATAACCATGCTGTGGGCCAGAAATGTATCCTATGGAAAATTTTACAAATCATAAAGAATAACTTTGATACTTTCAAAGAATAATCAAGGATGGGTTAGTATTTTATTTATTAGTTAGTTTTTCAATAACTTTTTTTTCATCCTGTGAAAAAATTTTGTGCCCGTTTTATCAACTGGAAATTACCCTGACATATTTTGCTCCTGTGTCTTTGTGCTCAGGTAGCATCAGAGTACTGTAAAGACACCACTCTGCTGCTGATGGGAGTCATCTGCCTGGCAGCCTCCATAGAGAAGTGGAACCTGCACAAACGCATCGCCCTGCGTATGGTGATGATTGCAGGGGCCAAGCCTGGCATGTAAGTAGTAGGATTATGCTTATTGACATAAACCAGAAGGGAAAAACCTGTATATTTTTATATAACTGAAAAATATGACCGCTCATTATTTCTCACCCAGGTTGGTGCTGGGCTTCATGTGCTGCACGGTGTTCCTGTCCATGTGGCTCAGCAACACATCCACCACTGCCATGGTGATGCCCATAGCAGAAGCCGTCCTTCAGCAGCTCATCTGCACCGGTTTGGCTGACTCTCACGATGACTCGGAAACAGAGGATTCACCCGAGGAAGACAGTGGTAGGTTGTTCTGGTCCCTCTGTCGCCTTTACATCAAATAAAAAAGGAATGTAAAGGTTTACTTGCAGATTACTTTGCCTCCTTACAGGTCTCTATAGTTTTTTATGTTTTTATTTTATTTTTTACACCTGCTTGTTCTTGATTATCAAACAAACTTTAATATATTACAAATTAAATAAATGCAAAAAGGCAGTTTTAAAAATGTATTATTTATCATGCTGATCTTATACTGAATACAGTGACACAAATCATTAGCATAGATTTGTGCAACCACAGAGCTGTTACCAAGGCCGTGTGCCTCAACAAAATCTTTATGCAAGATGGACGTTTGCCTGCTCTCCGCATCAAGCTCCCAAATTTCACACAGGATACAAACTGCCAGACCCACTGAATTTCAGAACAACCCTGGTTGCAGTGTTTGAGTGTTTTTGCAGTTCAGCTGCTCAGCTGCACCATATTCTGTGTGAAACTGGAGTTAAGAGAGAAAGGGTTTTTATGGTCATTTCACAGCTTCTTGCTCAGAATTTAGTCCATACTTTGACTAGGCCATTCCGCAACTTAAGGACCAATAAGCAAAATTCATCATTTGAGATGGAAACAACTAAGAAGTAGTATGTGCAGAAGGTTTCCAGCCACACATCTTGTTTTGGTCTACAGACATTGCTCAAGAGGCCACCTAGTGGTGAAATTTGCTTACTGCTCTTTGTAGTTAATTGTTTCGTAGCCGTTTGGAGCACTTGAGGTTAATGTCGTCAGCAGGGTTTTTTTTTTATTGAAATGTAGTGATTCTAGTTATAAAGGAGAACACATAAAAAAAAATTACAATTTATCTCATCACTCAACTAAATGTTTTGTTTAGTTATTGGGAATCATCAAAAAATTTTCGGCAAATGTGAGAAAGTATTTGCGTTCTTTCTGGTTAGCAGTGCTTTTGGCCTTTGAGACTAGCATGAACCCCTTATTTGCCCCGTATGTTGAATAAACATTTAGAATAAAAGAGAAAAGTGAGGCGGCATTGTTTTAGATAATGTTCTGATTTCTTTGTAACTTCCTGGATAAATTATTAATGTAGCATTAGTGTCATTCTAAGTACATAATCACATCCTAAATGCTCCCTTCTGTTTTTCCATGTGTGAATTCTGGCTGCATTCTGTGGTTCTCTGGATCCCAAGCTTCGAAACTCTTTCCAGACTGTTACTGAAAAACGTCCAGGATGGTTATGATACAACCTGCTTCATGTTTTCTGTGCGAGGCTGTGTTAGATAGCTTTTTATACTTTATTAAATCAGCTAAAAACATGTATTTTTATAGGATAATTTATTTTATTATTTTATTTGACGATTTAAAATATTGTAAAATGGGAATGTGAGAAAAGCTAAATCAGAATAATCCTGAGAAGAATAAACCATTTTTTAAGTGTATGTAGAAAAATATGTGGTGTGGAGAACCTTTTGAGCATTTTTTTTCTGTCATATTGCAGCTATTTCAACCAAAGAGGAGAACCTAGACAAAAACCAACTAGAGCTGCTCTATCAAAATGAACGGTATGTGTGTGTATGCTCTCTTTTTACAGTCCAAATACTTTACTCTTTTTACTACTAATTTTTCCTAATTGACCATATTTATAACATCCATTTTTTTAATTGAATTTCTATTGTATTTTACACATGAAACACATAAAAAAAACTTTTTTCTTGCTCTTTCCAACTCCACCTGGTTTAAATTAGCAGAGATACCTCTAATTTCTTCTACTTCTAGTTGAATTCCTAAACGATTTATAAACAAAAAAACAAAAAAAACAATAGTTCTGCTTAGTCATTATTTGAGCTTAAATTGCAAGTCTGTATTTACCCCTTTCTTTCTCATCTAAGGCTTTGTTATCTATGTTTAGTGTAATTATTATTCTGTGACACACTGAATATGTTTAAAAAAAAAAATTTATTACCGTTATTTTAGGTGTACCACAGGGTTGTATGTTTAGCCCACTGTTGTTTGAATTCAAATCTAAAAACATTTTTTTCTCATTAAAATAATGTCTGTATTCAAATTGCTTTGTACAGCTAAAATACTTTTCACTTCTGGGGGCAGGCTTGTACTTTTGTATGTTAAGACGAATTGTCATTAGTCCGCAGCCCAATCCCAAAGCACCCTCTATGCACTAACCCCTTACTATTGATACTACTATTGTTACTCCAAATGAAGTCACAATCACAGCTGTGGAGGGTGTGTTGATTGAAGGTGGGGGATGTAAATGAAAATGGGACGGGCTCTTCTCTCCAATGGAAATGGAAAGCAGTTGTTGTTATGGCAACAAAGTGATGCCCCATGTGTACGGCTGTAGCTCTGAGGTTGGCCTGACATTAAATATTTGTCCCTATCTTAAAAGTAATAAAATAAAACAATTTCAAAGAGGATCTTCCCTTTCGAAATTTATGACGTCTTTTTTTTCCTAACTTGTGATTTTCTGTTAGTGTGACAATGATGCAGCAATGTTTTTATTGGTTAACAGCAAGCTTTTGCGTTGAACTTGAAGTGAAGAGAACGTAATCTGTAGAGACACAATTTGAAAAAGAAAAAAGAGGAAAAAATCAAATATGAAAAAATAAACAGAAAAAAGTTTGAAAAATGACAGAAAAAAATGTAATATTAAAAAAGGATTCAAAAAAATTATGAAATCTGTTTTTATTAAGAATTTTGTAGTAGCTGTGAAAAATCAGCCTTTTATGGATTGATTATACCGATAAACCTTGTTATATTTTTTTCACATTTTCTTTTTTTTTAAATCTCTGTATCTTTTAAAAAAATTCACTGTAGAGAAGTTAGTTAGTGTCTCTAACTGGTTTTCTTCTACATTTTTTATCTTTTCTGCTAGAATGCTAATTGTAAAACCTTAATCTGTTTAATAATCCCTCCATTGACTTTCACTACAATTCTCCTTAAAATTTTATAAATAACACATCAAATCTTTACCCATTCAATTTACTTTAATCTTAATAATCTTTTCCTTAAAATGCTTTTTTTGCCACTTTATTTGCATTCTTGATTTTCAAATCTAAATTCGAAAAGAAACTTTAATCACTTTTCCTTATACTTCATATTTCTTGCCTTTTATTCCAAAATGTCATTGTATTCCATATAAAATAATCAATATTTAAATTGTGTTTCTACTTATGGTTGATTTTTTCTCCTTTCAGGAATGAATGTGCCAAACAGGAGCTCTGTGCATTCACTGAGGTAAGATAAAGTTTGCTCTCCTTCTCTTAGTTAAATGCATTGGATTAAAAATTAAAAACGTTTGCATGCATTTCAGTAAATGCCCACAGGCTCAATACTTTGTAAAAAAAAACACAAAAAAACATCCTACCTCCCTCCTAGGTCCTGCTGCAGTCAGCTATCCCCTCACTATGTCACTATCACCAATCAGATTTCAGGCAGAAGATAGTGAATTTTAATTGTGATGTATGTCATCTTTGAGAAGGTTCAAGATTATAATACCATTTTATAAGCTTTATTTGTTTTTTAAACATGTCTGGTGTCATCTTTATCTTCAGGGTGAATATTTTTCCTTTAAACACCAATAGAAGAGACATAGATGTACTTTATTTATAAATGAATGACCTTCCGAAGACAATTGGCTGACCTGGACTTCATTAAGGGTTGTTAGAGGAAAGGTGGCTGGATGAAATTAGAATTCTGCCAAAAGTGCACACACATTATAAACACTCATATGATCAGTTTTTTCACGCGAATAAGAAAGAGGCTACAGGCGCAATAAAAGCAGGCCACATATGCAGAAGATGAGTATGCATATTGGAGGGGCTCATGGTATTAAATCTGGCATAAAATGTTCAAAATGCTCATGGAGACTAGTTTACGTTTGTGTATTTGAAATAAAATGGCTCGTATTATTACTCTTGTCCACTTTTTGGCACAATTCTAACTTCATATGGCTGAATCCAAATGCCCTAATCATGCATCCTTTACTTTTTACTTTCAACTATGCTCTGCATCTATTACGTGGTTTGTGGTTGTGATATAAAAAGTGCAGATAATAGAAAATAGATATATTTCACAGGTCAGTAAAGTTTCTTTCTCCCTGTGCTTTTCTTGTGTCTCTTCGGAAAGGCGGGCGACATGAACGGTTTTGGTCTTCAGCCCGTCCTGAACAAGACATTTGTGAGACAAACCAACGGACACCTTCCACAAGTTAGTGATAAGTTGCCTTATAAACTTGGCTGCTTCAATATTTCTTAGCCAGGGTCCATGCATGTTAAAGTGTCTAAATGTATTCCTCTGACTCCTCTTCAGGTTGCCATAGAGATCCCAAACGTGAAGCGAGTAAAGGCCAGAAGAGACTCCCAGTACCCAACGAAGAGGGATCACATGATCTGTAAATGCCTGTCGCTAAGCATCACCTACGCTGCGACCATCGGAGGACTCATCACCATCACTGGCACATCCACCAACCTCATCTTTGCTGAACAGTTTAACACGTAGGTCTACCTTCACTTGTTCAGAAGCTTAAATTCAGACCTTTAATTTCTTTAAGTTAGGGTCTAAGTTACTTTCACTGAAGCTGCAACCACTCAACCTAATGCTTAACATTTAAGTCTGAAGAAAGGAATGAGCAACCAGCAAACCTGTTGGATGTTTTGGAATTTAGTAACTGAGATTTACCTTCAAAATCAAACAGGAAATTAAAAAACAAAAACAAAACTTTTTTTTTTTTTTAGAAACCCATTTTAACTGGTCTTTAGACTTTTTATTGGTAAAATTAGCGTAATTACTATGGCGTTAATTTTGTTCCATTATTTTTGAGAGCAAAAACACAGATTTTATAAATTGAAATTTTGAAATGAAACTTTGAAAAACGTCTTAATAAAAAAAAAAAAAAGGTTTTGAGATTAACTTTGCCACTTTATCAGATTTTATTTTACTTTTTTGATTATTCTTTTTAATTTTTTGTTTTATTATATACATTTCTGGGTATATTTTGTTTTCAAATTTTGTTTGTTGAGCTTTCCTTTTCAGATTGAGTTTTCCAAATTGCATTCTTCTCAAATAGTGTTTTACATATCACATTATCTTATTACTTACAGTATACAAACGCTTGTTTTCGACTGATAATAATGTTGATGCTAACGTTCATTCAGACCATCAGAAATAAATGTGTGAGGAGAATGTCATCCTTAAAACACAACTTAAAAAAATTTTACTTGTAAAGCCTGATTTTAAAAAACATTTGAAAAAAAAAATAAGATATAGATAAATTAACGGGTGTGCTTTAGTGGCACAGCGGTTACTGTGCACGACTCATGTCATGTCAGTTCTTAGCATGGCCGATCCGGGTTCGAAGCCGATCCTGTGGTCCTTTGCCGCATGTCTCTCCCCATCTATACTTACCCCTTTCCTGTCAGCCTACTTTCAAAATAAGAGCTACTACTACTGTAAAAATTAACAATTTGTTCAAAGTTGCATTTCTAGATTGCATTTTTTTCTAATTTCTATTTACAAAACATGTTCTTTGCTTGCAACAAAAGTAGAACAAAATTAATTCCATATACAGTAGCAGCCATTAAAAATGTCCCTTTCCAGTCAAACACCAGCAGAATGGCAGCCCACTTCCCTCCAACTCCCAGCAAAATCCCCTCCAACTTCCAGCCACTGGAGTGACCCCCTCTTGCATATTCTGTTACTCTGACTCCACAATTTCACCGAATTATAGGGGCTTACCGAGAGATAAGGCTTCTCTTTAGATCTTAATGTCCAAAAATCATGACAGAAATAATATTTTAGTACAAAGATTGATGTTTAAAAATGAATTGTAGGGGAGCAGCTAAGGATCCATTAAGGAAAGTGGGGAAATTATGAATGGCTACTACTGGGGTTAATGAAGAACTTTCTAAAACCTAGAAATCACCCTTCAGTTGCACAGCATTATGAAAGAAGTATTTTTAAAAGCACCAAGTAGGAATTGCAGAATACTTGTTTTTGACTCAACATTTAAGAGCAAAGGGATTATTTAGATAAGAAGCCACTAGATTTCTACTCAAAATGCCCTAATATTTCAGAGTTTATGTTTCCCTGCACTCTACCAAGATCTATGGGACTTAAAAAATTTACTGTACTTTTCTTCGTATTCATCTTTTGTTTCACACCAAGAAAAAACATAACTTTTTTGCTTTTCTGTAGAGCTCAGTCTTAGTCTTATCTGACCAAACATAATATTCAAAATACTATCACTGTAATATTCTTTTTTTTTTTTTTACCAGCAGCCTGTAAAACACCCTTTCTTGGTTTGATTTTTGAATACATGCTCAGCTTTCCTTGGCATCCATTGTTGCCGTAATTTAACACTGTGTGAAATCAGTATCCAGGGGGCCTGGTAAGGTCCAAATTTAAACTAATTAGTCTGTATGGTGCCAATCGAGCCGATTTTCTCCAGCCAGTGTTTTAAGTCTCACAGAATGGTCTCCTTCATGTCACAGCTCAGTGGGCAAAGGTCAGATTTTCTAATTCTCTGTGCACTCAGGTTGGTGTTTGTGTGTGGCAGACATAATCCTCAGAGTATATTTCCAGGAAATACAGTAAGCTTAGTGGGTGTGAAGAGAAATAATCCTTTAAAAAACATGTTGAAGTGTAAATGTTGGGTCTTTTCTGGAGAATTTTGAATTTTCTGGGATAGTAAACTTGCTAAAAAAGAAAGCTGGTGTGGTTTTGATAACTAAAGCTTTAAGTTGTTATTAAAAGGCTGGAATTTGGTGATCTGAAAAAGTTATAACCTGTAGAGATCCGCCGATACACGATCTGTTTTTAAAGTTGATGTTGATTATTTTCCATCTATCCGATCCTTCTATTTGCTCCTGAGACGCACATTTATTTTTGCAGTGAAAAGTCTTAATTTCATGCCACGCTATGCAGAAGCTCAGTCTGCACCACTGAAGATTTTGAAGCTGTTTTTCTCTAAAAGAATAACACAATAATAAATGTTACACAAGACACAATGAAATACTAATCATACAAATTAACTTATAAATGAAACAAAACATAAACAATAGATAGCAAAAAGAGGGAGAAGTAGATCATGTGATATCATGGCATGTCTCCTGATTGATCTATTGAATCTGTGAACATATGCACATACCAACCAATAGAAAATAAGGAACAAAAACAACAAAATAAAACATTGACCAAATATATTGGAAAGCTAATATATCAGTGGTAACCTGGTTGAAATATCTTCGATTGCTAGCAGTTTGCTTACTTTTTAATCATGCAAATGTTCTCCAAATCAGAGTGTCTCCTCAGCCCTCCTTCGGTGAACTCTAAAGCTAATTTTACGACAGTTTTGAGTTCTAGAAAGGTGAATTTAAAAAAAGCTAATTTTCACTCATATCGTTCTTTGGATTTAATGCTATCCTGGAAAAAGAAAAAAAAACTGCCTTAATGTTGTTCTTACAAAAATAATGAGGAGCTGCCCATAATTTCACTTAGTTTGATAAAAATGTCCAACCCATTTAAAGAATAGCCAGCCCACAGCATGAGGCTGCCACCACCATGTTGTAGAATTTGCATTAGGGATCTAAGGAAATTTGATTATGTCCAATATCACGATATTTCATGAAACAACAGCTGTATTTATAAAAAATAACAAAATTTGGGCATTTCATTTGACAATAGTTGCATCATTTCAAAATGCCAAAATTGCAAAATGTTGTTGGACGATAGTTCAATTGATTCTGTCATGAAAGATCTGAAGGATTCAAAGGTCTGACCTACATGCAGAAAACCAAACAGAGAGACCATGGGAAGGTTTAACAGGTTTATTGAGAACTGGTAGAGAAGGGTCTAGTGCTGCTCTGAACACTGCTGAACCGGGACTGAAAAATGAATGGGGAGTTCCTGTGGTTAGTTCAGGCTCAGTGGGAAATTTGAGCTTCGATTTGCAAAAGGGAATAAAGGCAACAGGACCCACTTTTCCAGAAAAGGTGTCTTTCTCTGAATTGATGTGTTTCCTTGAGGAATGGAGGAGCTGACTGCGACTTAGATTTCCTATGGTACTTGAACAGTTTCTTGTGGAGATGAATCCCCTGCTCAGTGTGAAGCTCAAACAATCCTTTGGGGAAAAGTAGATCCAAACCTCCAGTTTGAATCTCCAGCTCAGTTTGAAGCTCAGACGATCCTTCCAGGGAGAGAAGGTCCAAAACATCCAGTTTGCAGGATGACTTCCTGCCGAGAGGCAAAGACAAAAAAACAACAAGGTTAAAACTCAGTTTAACTCAGCAAAACTCAGCTTGGCTAGAGTACCCAAAACTCGCAAACACTCTGGATTTCGAGGTAGTGGCAGTCAGCAGCTTAAGAGTCCTCAAGGTAATGAGGCAACCATCCGCAGGTGTGTGAGAGGGCCAACGAGAACCAGGCGCCACCTGGTGGCGGAGGGAGAACACACAAAAACACAACCCACACAAACTGGATTCCTAACAGATTCAAAATGCCACAGTACAGATTTTTTATCAGGTGATAGACTTATCGATTAAAAATTACCGAAATTGTGAGATTTCATTAGATGATTTTGTATCGATTCAAAATACCAAAATCAGGCTATTTAATTAGCTGGTAGTTCTATTGATTTTAAACAAAAAAATCACAATACTTTATAAATTGGTAGTTGTATGTAGTAAAAATACTAGAACTGAGATATTTCATTAGGTGATCTTGGTATTTATTTAAAATACAGTTGAATGAATCTTAAATGTAAAAAAAAATGTTTATAGTTGAACATCCATGTCAATCTCACGCTTTTATGAAAACCTCCAGCCACTAGTAGGCAGCACAACCTAAGAGCCTATTATTTATCTGCTCTCCAGCCAGAGCAGAGCAACAACACAATCTGATTAAGTTTTTCTTAAGTTTTTTTATGAAAATTTCAATGTCAATTTTCTTAATATTTTGGATAAACCTTATAGTGACATATGTATTGTGATATGTTTCGCCAAATTCTTACTATTTAATGCCCCTAGCTTGCAAGGTATTGTTTTAGGATTAGTTGTAGGGCTGAAACAATTAATTAGATTAATCGATTATTGAAATAATCATCAACTAATTTAGTAATCGATTAATCGTCTCTTTAGCTGACAGAGCAAGTCACCTTGAGCAGCAAATATATAAAAACTATTTAAAAAATATGTAAACACTTTGCATTTAAGATAAAAATCTTTTTCATCTGCCAGTATGCTCAATCCAGAACTCCTCAATTAAAAAGCTCTATTTTCACTTGGTTTAATTTTGCAAACACTCTTCTTTAAGGAACCTTTTGCAATTCGATTATTACTCGAAAAAATAATCGACATATTAATCGCATTGCAAAATAATCGTTAGTTGTATTTTTCTTGGTTATTTGTTCACCGAAGGTAAACAAATCCATCTCAGGTAGTAATATTTATACCGTTTAAATAAATCAGGTCATGCTGTGGTTTCCCCTGTGGGTTTTTAACTCAGTGGGCAGCAACACTCACACTGACCCCACCTGTTATCTGCGTGGAGACTGTTGGTGCAAAGATTAGGCAATGGGAATGACAGCAGCTGTAATTCAAAGCAAACAAGAGATCAGTGCAGTGTTGGGAAATTATTGGGGGTTTCTAGAGGCTATTTTTAGATTTAGTAAAACAGCAGACAATGGTGGCACTGTAGGTATCAAGAAGTCTCTCATCAGTCTTTTCAAGCAAAAATGAGCCATGAAGTTACTCTCCATAACTCTTCGTCTGGATCTTTGCCTTTACAGCCGATATCCAGATGCGAAGGTGATCAACTTTGGCACCTGGTTCATCTTCAGCTTTCCTATCGCCATCATCATGCTGGTCCTCACTTGGCTCTGGCTGCACTTCCTCTTCCTTGGCTGCAAGTGAGTACACTCCTGCTCATGGTCACATCCAGGTGTGGGATTATGGTGGTTGTCCTCCCTTTTACTCACGTTCACATCTTATCATTATGGACTCATGATAATCCTATGGGTTGCACGAAGCTGGCGCTGTTCAGAGCCGATGCTCACATGTTGCTGCCTCTGTCCTCAGCTTCAGGGAGACGTGCTCGCTGAGTAAGAAACGCAAAACCAGGAGGGAAATGATGTCAGAGCAGAGGATCCAGGAAGAGTATGCCAAGCTGGGGCCCATCAGGTGAGTCTTCACCTCTTTTTGAGGGCAGAAACAATTTGTATCCTTTTAAGTTTTTCACCTTTTGGTGCTTTTTTATTCTTCTCGGTTAGAAAAAATCAGAACGAAATTACTAGTTTTTGTTTACTTATCGATTTTTCAACCCAAGTTGATTTTATATATGGATTAAGGGTCAGAATATAAATGTACTGCACACTTTTCAGATCGTTCAGGAAAAGTTTCACAGTTTTACGCACTAATTTACATATAAAATCCCTAAAAAGATACATTTCACTTTTAGCTTTAATTATAAAGTGATAAAATTAAACAAAAATGGATGCTAACACTTTTCTTGTAGTCAATATGAAACAGTTTGAGGTCACATCCAGACATAATTGAGATGGACTGCAGTGATGTCATGCATGTAATTGTCACTAATGTGCTTTTGCGGTTGTGTCCCAGCTACCCAGAGGTGGTGACGGGTATTTTCTTCATCCTGATGACTCTGCTGTGGTTCACCAGAGAGCCGGGCTTCGTCCCCGGCTGGACGTCGCTTTTTGAAAAGTAAGCAGTTATGATGCGGCCAGAGAATAACAAACATTTTTCTATGGTATTAATTAGTTGCTCAACTGCCTGTGGTGCAGTAACACAATAATCTGATTAGTAGTTTTGCAGGAGACTATAGATTTGTGTTTATTTGTTTGGTTTGTAGGAAGGGCTACAGGACTGATGCAACGGTTTCTGTCCTCCTGGGCTTCCTGCTCTTCCTCATTCCTGCCAGACGTCCCTTCTCCTCATCCTCCCCCCGCTGTACAAACTCAGGTTAGCTCCTCATTTAAACACTGTTGGGTGTAAGGATGAACATATCAAACAATCTAAGAGAGAAAGGGACAATTTTCCAACAACTCCAACATATTTAATTTCTGTTCTCTACTTTCACACTTTGATTAATTACAAGCATGACCGTTTCTTCATTTAACTGGTGTAACATTGTTATTTTAGCCAAATTAAGCACATTCTCTAAAACAAGTCAAATCATATCTATTACTTGCTAATATGACACACCTCTGTTTTCTGTTCTCTGTGTATATTGGTCTGATGAGTGTAAAAATACAGTCCTCTAAAGTGTTTTGTCCTTGATGGTTGATTGAACTTCTGGGCTAAAAAAATTCACTTCAGAACCACTTTAGGTAAACAGCAAGTCGAAGTGAGTTGAACATGTTGCATACTCTGCAGCAAGTGTATAAAATTGTTCTTAATCTCAAAGAAAATATCTTTTTCCTCCACATATTCAAACTCAACCATAAGCTCATCTGTCAAACTCAAAGAAAGCTCCATCCCCTGTAGCTTAAAAAAAGAAAACACAACACCAAGACAGAGGAGGAATTTATTATTATTTTAAAAAGGGATTAGTCAGCGATTATTAGTCAACAAATCAAACATTTCTTTTATTTTTTTGATAAAAGCTGCTGCGTAAATTAGAGCTAAAATTTCTAATCCTATTTGATCTTAATCAAAGTTTTTATATTAAATCCTGACTTACCGCACAAATGTTCTAAGACACCCTGGGGTAAAAAGTTCTGCCCAGGTGGCAAAAGCAGGCAGCTGGAAACCCCATTAGAGGTCTGTGAGAAGAAATTTGCATCAATTTTCTCTTTCACATCTTTGAGAACAAGAAAAAAACGTCTTGCTTCTTTTAGAGAATATGAAAAGCATTAATCTTAATTTGTGCAGACTGAGCTTCTGCACAGCGCAACATGAGATGAAGACATCCTCACTGCAATAATAATCTGAAGATAAATACCTACATTTATTTTTAAATTCAAACTATTTGCCAATATATTGGGTATTTTTGGTACCTAGAATTTGATTGTTATAAATACTGCACTTGAAAGAAGATAATGGAAATGTTCTTATTTTGAGTTAGCAAATCTATTAGCAAATAATTTTACTTACCTATTTCCTCCATCCATCCATCTTTCCATCATCCATCCATTATCCCTGCTGGGGTGTGCTGGTGCCTATCTCCAACTGTCTACGGATGAGAGGCGGGGTACATCCTGGACAGGTCGCCCAGTCCATGGCAGGGCAACACAGAGACAAACACGACAAACAACCATCCATGCACACACTGACATCCAAGGAGAATTTAGAGAAGCCAATTAACCTAGGAGTCATGTTTTTGGACTGTGGGAGGAAGCTGGAGTACCTGGAGAGAATCCATGCATGCATAGGGAGAACATGCAAACTCCATGCAGAAAGACCCCGGCCCGGTAATTGAACCCAGAGGCTTCTTACTGCAAGCAGTCCTATCCACTGTTCCACTGTGCAGCCCTTACCTATTAAGTGCAAACATGCTGATTTTGTATTACTTTTTACTGTGATACTATTGAATGAATGGTCAAAGTCAAGTCAAATTTTTTCCCCTCCAATTTTTCATCCTAAATACCTACTTTTAAATGTATTATATGAGCTACACTAAATTATAAATTTCTACTCACTTTAAAGTTGTTGGACAACAATGTGTCTGTAGGGTTTTAAAATGTTTTTGAAAGGAAGTACATAAAATAAGCAAAAAAATAAGACAATTAAAAGGATACAAATGAACAAACGTGTTGGGATGAAGTGTTAATATAATAATAATTGAACTTTATTGATCTCACATCGGAGATATTTACCTGTGCATTTAACCCATCACCTTGGGGAGCAGTGGGCTGCTACTGTGCGGCGCCCGGGGAGCAGTGTGGGGTTAAGAGTCCTGCTCAGAGACCCAGAGTGGCAGTCTGTGGGAGTGGGGCTCGAACCTAGAACCTTGATTCTAAGCTCTATGCCCTGACCACTAGGCTTCCACTCTCCCAAGAAAAAAATATTGCAAGCAAATTATTATGTTATTTTCCCCAATGACTGCACAACTGTGAAATTTCTCCCCTACATTTTGATTTAAAGGACTATCTCCTAAAAAGAAAAAAAAAAAACTATCTAGCTTACATTATATGAATTTAATGTGTGGTCAAGGTGAACTAAAACTCAGTCACTCTATGCTCTAACATGGAGGTCATATTCTTCCACTGAGCAGCCTTACTGCCGGATTGCTTCCAAAATGTCATGGTAGACGTTGGCTATGCTGGGGGACGTTAAAAATGGGGGAAATTGTGAGGAAACGTGTTTCCAAGGCTCACCACTAACTGTAGTTTAATACATGTTGGTTTGTTGTGGTTTTGTACCCTCAGATGACGAGTCGGAGTCTGACCCACTTGCCCCCATGATCACTTGGAAAGATTTTCAGAGACTAATGCCATGGGAGATTGTAATCCTGGTTGGAGGAGGATATGCTCTTGCAGCTGGATGCAAGGTTAGATCTTTGTACCTGTAGCTTGGGGTTTAGTTCATTGATTTTTTTATTCTATTACATTCTTGTTGTTACTTAGATAATTATTTGTGGCTTGATGTTTAATGCATCATATCTGTAGGTGTCAGGCTTGTCAGTGTGGATCGGCAGACAGCTGGAGCCTATGAGTGGTCTTCCTCCCTGGGCAGTCACCCTCCTGGCCTGCCTCCTGGTGTCAGCGGTCACAGAGTTTGCCTCCAACCCAGCAACTCTTACTGTCTTCCTTCCCATCCTATCAGCTCTGGTATGGCCTCCTCTCCTTCACATGCCACTAAAATCCTCCATTAAATCACCGACCTTCTAGTATTCCCTCATCTTGAGAGAGTATTTGGAGCTAGTGAAAATGATCCACCTACTTTTGACTTAAATGTACGCTGTAGTTAACAGCACAGAAAAAAAGAGATCTATTAAAAAAACACAGAAGCATTCAGCAAAAGCTGGAACTCCCTAAAGGCACAGAGAGTTAATGGCAGCAATAGCTCTGTCAATTGCAGTCACGGGAAGATACACAGTTAAACACTGAAGCAACACTGCAAACACTGATCTTATATAGGTTGCATACATTTTAAAATGAGTGTATTCCCCTTAATTTGAGCAGGTAAAAAAATAAGACGATCTACCAATAGAAAGTTTTTTTTTTTCCTGTAGAATGAGAGGAATATATTATGTACTGGAACAGAAATCATCTTATTTGAATCTGCATATTATCTTACTTATCTGCTAAAATTAGGACAAATACAGTTATTTCAAGAAGACTTGACATACTTATATTATATTCTTTGCAGAAAATAAACCAAGAATGCTTTCTCAAGGGAACAAAAGGGATTTCATGTAGTTAATGTCCTTACAAAAGGCTTTATTTAGAGGATAAACAAACTTAAACATAACTGATATAGGGGCCATTTCTATAGAAACACAGTTAAACATCATTGTTTAACATTGGAGTATATGTTCATCTAAAAATGCAGTTTAAAATAAAAAATGTTTGGGGTTATGTCTATAGAATGGGGTACAAATCAAAAATTAGAAGTTATAGAAATCTATTAAAGTTTCTACAAATTATATCTTACTAATAAAGCAGTACTCTTTACAAAAACACAGTAAAAAACATTTGCAAAGAGGTTGTTTTCTATAGGAACACAGTTAAACATAACTGTTATGAGAATAATTTCTATTGAAACACTGATAAAAGTGCTATTGGTAATTTGGTTATAGAAACACGGTTAAACAACTCTGTTAAAGGAGAGCTTTCTATAGAAACACAGTTAAACATAATTATGAGTGTCTTTGATACAGAAACAGTTATGTATAGCTGCTACAGAGGTTATTTTTATAGAAACACAGTTAAACATCTGTGTTATAGAAGTATTTTCTATAGAAACACGGTTAAACATTACTATTAGTGTCTTTGATATAGAAAGTGAGTTAAATATAACTGCTACAGAGGTTATTTCTAAAAAAACACAGTTAAACAGCTGTTATAGTGGCATTTTCTATAAAAACACAGGTACATATAAATGCTTTAGGTTTATTTTATATAGATACACAGTTAAATATAACTGATGTAGAGATTGTTTTTATAGAAACACAGTTAAACACATTTACTACTGGGGTACTTTCAATAAAAACACAGTTAAACATTACGACTGTAGTGGTTTTTCTATAAAAGCACAGTTGAGCATAACTACTACATGGGTACTTTCTATAAAAACATAATGCAGCATAACTGTTATGGAGGTACTTTCTATAGAAAAACAGATTATAAAAAGTCAGTCAGGAATAGCTCTGTTAACATTGCAGTCTGGCGATCAGATACAGCTAAATGCTAAAGTCCTATCCAATAGTACTAAAAACTGTAAAGAAGGAAAAGTTTTCATTGTTTATGGCAGTGATACCTTTACTTGCGACTTTATCTAAAAAAGAGAGCGAAACATGCAACCAATGTGTAAACATTATTTTAAACAGGAAAGCAAAATAGAGGACCGGTGGCTAGTGGTAGCAACACCCCCAATGATAGCTTTGTATAAAGTAGAAAAGAGACACAGCTAAACTAACATGCACTGGGCAAGGCATACCATCCGAGGAAATAAAAAATGAAAACAGAACATAGTTGTGATTCACTGTGTTATATTCTTTTTTCTCTCTTGCTTACTCTTTTTGTTTTTTTGCTTTTATTTAATCCTGTCCTGCTGTTGTCTCTTTGTTTGATCTCCCACCAATAAGCACTTTCCCTCTTCGCCTTTATTGTCCCCTCAATGTATCCATATTGTTCTTCACCCTGTGTTCTAGTCGGAGACCCTGCTAATCAACCCCCTCCACACTCTGATCCCGTCCACCATGTGCGTGTCATTTGGGGTCATGCTTCCAGTGGGGAACCCCCCCAACGCCATCGTCTTCAGTTACGGCCACGTGCAGATTAGCGACATGGTAGGGCGCTCTTTCCCTCTCTCACACACGCACACTTTGTGCACCTGCAGCATCAAAAAAACTTTCAGGGTACATCGTATCAGATTTCTTATGTTCTAAATCAAAGAAAATATTTGTATTATTTTATAATGCAATGTCACTGAAGGTATCCATATCAGCCGTTTTTATTACTTAGTGCTTTAAGGTCAGTTTTAGTGTTGGTTTTTAGACCTTTTCATTTTTCTGTCCAGGTGAAAGCAGGTTTTGGAGTGAACCTGATCGGTGTTGCCGTGGTTATGTTAGCCATCACCACTTGGGGGGTCCCGCTCTTCAACCTGACTGAGTTCCCCGCCTGGGCAGTGGCTAGGAACGTCACAGGAGGCTTATAACCAAAGCCGACATAAAGGGGGGTAAAATCTTTCAGCGACAGACAGAAGAAGAGGAGTTTCTGTAAGGAAGACAACATGAACATGATTGAGTCCGGAGGATTGTCTTCCCCACAATGACACTTGACAGAACGTGCCTCCTATGAAAGGACGACAAGAGAAAATGGTGGAAGACCTGGTTAGATGCTTGGATAGAATATTAGCTTCAGTTTAAGTTAGCCATATAATGGCAAAACATTTGATGAATGTCACTCTGGGGAAAAACTGAACTTCTACAATAATTTAACTTTACCTCTGTTGCCACAATTATGCTGATTCTCTTTTCACAGGATCAATAAAAATCTGAAACATAATTTTAGTATAAAAAAGAAGCTCGTACACTATTAATAGTTTTAAAATCTACTCTAAAGAGGTTTTTACAAACTGTGCCTTCACTCCTGTACTCTTATAGTAACTTTTTGATATAAATCAGCTATTTAGCAACTGCTCAGAAACCTCTTTTTGTTTCCCTTATATTTTTTGCATGTAAGCCTGGAAGACTGTTCAGTTTTTCAATTGGATTAGTGTTTAATCACTCAGTGTTAATAGAAATGGTTTTTGTTTTTCTTTTAAGAAAAGGTCCCTACTATGGCCATAGATGTGCTGTAAAAAGAAACAGTTTAACTTTATGTTAAGATAAGGAAAAAATGGGTCTTATTTCCAGCTGGGTGTATCAGAAACAGGTGGGTAACTAATTGGATTTTTTTTTTAGGGATCATGGAATAAATATGTCGTAATTGTCATTTGTGATACATAAAAACTTATAATTACTTCCAAAAGTATGCATTCTTTGTAATATTTTTCACCTATAGACGTTGCAATTTTTTCACCTGTGCAATGCATGCTGGGTAAATGATATGGTAAGGTCCTAAACAGTAAACACAGGATGGCGAACATTAGCAGACTTGTTTTTTTTATTGTATTTTGTTTGATTGGTGTTGTTGCCTGTCACTACCCGACCCGTCCCGGAAGCCGCCTTCGATTTTATTTTGTTAAAAAGCCCTAAATTCATTTTTCCCTGTAACACTTTCTTTTACAGTACATCAATAACCATATAATAACATGGTAATAACATAGCAAGTCACACTATAGTACTTGGTTACAAGAAAAACTTTTTTTGGGGGGGTAATTACCCCAAGATTTAGGTATATAATTTCAAAATAATAACCTTCATGTAATAATTACAATCGTATGTGACTAACATTGGAGACCTTTGTTGGGTAATTACCATTAGGTTACCACATTACAGTTTCTATTATGGGCCACCACCTACCAATGGCTTACAAAGTAAATTGGAAATTATGATCGGGTTAATAAAGTATTATAAAACTGAACTCAAGTTACATGTAAATAAGAATTTAGTTAAGAAGATCGGCTTGCTGTATTCTAGGTTTGGTTTTCTGTTATATACCAAGTAATAAACTGAATTTTACCAGATAATACATCAAATCTGAAGCACAGCACTAAACCAAGATTTTCTTGTTACCTTGTAATGTACGGTAACTTGCTATGTTATTACTGTGTTATTACATAGTTATTGTTGTTCTGTAAAATAAAGTGTTGCCGTTTTTCCCTCCCCAAAAATAGCAAGCATTCTAAAATATAATGTGTTAAAGGTTAAAGATGTATTTCGAGAAAATAAATGCCTTAAAATCCTGTTTTATCACTTCCGTGCCCAATCTGCACCGGAAATGGGATCCTACGCTACATCCTTTGGCTAACATTTTCGGCTTTTTTTGCGTAATCTAAAGAAATAAACAACTAAAATGTAGATAAACGTGGTTCAATCATATTTTGCCGGACTGCTCTGAGCATGCCTGATGATGAAGTCAGGGAAGCAGTTTAACGAAGAAAACGTAAAAAGCATCAAAATTGTCTCACAAACGTCATAAAACATTTTTAAAGATGTGTGTTAGCATTCTTTAATGAATTAAGGATAAGGATTTTTGTATCGTAATTACATCATTTAATGACACCCAGATGTATATCTGTTCTCGTATGCGCAGAACGGTTTGTGCTTCCGGAACGGATCGCGTGGTGACATTGCCTCAAAGTTTTCATGTGCGGTTATGTATGAGATATCTGTTGAAACAAAAAATTGTAATCACCTTGTGATCTACCGTTTACTGTATTAGCTAGCTCTAGCTAACACCGTTAGTAGAAGGCGAGAGTGGGATCAAAACCAGACCAGAGGTTAATGAATTACTGTTTTAGGTGACAGTAAAGCATCTCTCAGTTGTTGTAACACATAATATATCTGAGAAAATGTTTTCATCCTGATGCTAACTGTAACTGGAGCTCTTAATTTGTAGCATAGCTCTCTGGGTTAGCATCTCCTAGCATCCACCTCGCAAACACCAGCTTTTTCACTCAAGTTTCATCTTTATTACCTCTTTAGATTTCTATATTGACATACATTTCAAACCGAAGAGATGAAACTTTACTAATTTATGTTTTAGCTGGACAGGGCTAGCGTTACAGGACCTAGCATACGTCATTTTCTCAGAATGCATTGACACCTGTGTGTACATTTTTTTTTTTTTATTTATCAAATCTAAACAGCTTACAGTATTTTCTTGTATTTAAGTAAAATATAAACATTTATCAAATAAAGTCTATTGTTATAGCTAAAAATGGATCACGGCTGCAATCAAAAGTTAGGCACATTTTTGCCGGCAGTTGCTAGGGCAACCAACCATCAATTAAATTAAAACTGATAATATTGCTGATTAATCGTCTACAAGGTGTCTTTTCCTTTCTGTCAAGTGCAATTACTATGCAACTATAGGAATATTTCCTCTTTTTTTATTAAATCACACTACATTTGACCTTTTTTTTATTTTTATTTTTTTTTTTTTTTTACGTTTTTAGTTAGGTTTTAAATCCTTTTGAGAAATCTTAAATCTTTTTCCTTCCCGAAAGTTTTAACAAAGTTGACCTTCCTTGAATTTCTCCAGGCAGACGTTTGCAACAATTCACGCAAAAAAAAAAGTGTTCACTTAACATTTACTGCCGAACTGCAGGAGATTAACGCCTTTTTAAATTAAATTCAGATAAGAAATATAAACCTTCAATATTTGGTGCTCCTTTTTAGTGCAAATATTAGAGCTTTCCTGAATGTCGGAGAGGCTGCTTTTGACGGACAATCCAAAAATGTTATTGTTGAAGTCCATCCAAAGAAATTCCAAAAAAGTTAAACAATGCACTGGACTTTGTTTCCAAGTTTGAAGACGTTTTGCTTCCCATCCAGGAAGCTTTTACAATTAAAAAGGTCCAGTGGATTGTTTTCTGTTTTACTTTTTTGGAATGGCAATTGGATGACTGAGAATTTTCACCAGCACATACACAGAGATATTTTGGTAATATCTCTGCTCCATTGACTTTAACGCTCGGACCAAAGTCCAACTCCTTCTGAACCGTTTTTACCAGTAAGTCTAGTCAAGCTACTGTACGTATGACCAAATATTGTTCATGTTCTTTGTTTTATATGCAGATCAAATCTCATTTCTTCACAATGAAAAGCTTCCTATCATGTGACCAATTCTTTTCTAAAGCGGATTTATTCAGTTTTTAAACCTGCATCCAAACCGTTTAAGCTCATTGGTGCCTTGCTGTGAGGCTCACAACATGCTTTCAGAACTTATGCAAACTCTTTCATTTTTTCACTAATGTTTAGTGCTTACAGTAGTAATGGTGAATTCTGAAGTAAAAAGGTCGTGAAACTTGCATTTTCAGATTTTGTCCACAATAGATGAGTGATAAATATTCCGTTGTTGGAATAATGAGGTGTTTAAGAAGGTGTACGGGTGATTTTTGTGCAACTCTGGTGTGTAAAAGCAGGAATAAGTGAATCTCTGGGTCCATCCGATGCTCTGATGGACTGAAAATGACTTCAGAAAGAAACTGGGGGAGTGAAAACGGGACTGTATTGTGCAATAGTTTTGTTTTAATCAGTCATCAAATCACAATAACTCTCTAAGTCAAGGTTTGTGCAAAACCCTCATTGTACTGAGCATAAATGCAGAAGATATGCTTTATATTTTTTACAGAAAATACAATAATTTACATGTAATTTGTTGTTTTGTACTACTGCATTAAAAGTAGAGGCCTTAGTGAAGTCTGGATGTGATGCCTTCAGTTTTCTTTGTGGTTCATAGATCTCTGCAGGGTTCCTTCGTGTTTTTACAGGACACATTTTTTTCCTGGTTTCCAATTTCTAAATTCTCAATCCTAACTGTTCAGCTTTATTTCAGATATTCAGATAAAAATAACGACTGGATCACAAATTAATCAACAGTTTTACTTAATCAACAATTAATTCCAGGCAGTATAGGAACCCTGCAATGACCTTTGACCCTGGAGGGGCCACGATCCTTTGTAAATACACACCGATTTGTAATATAAACTCAATGTGTTTTTGGTTGTTTTATATGACCTGTAACATTCTTAAATCAGCTGCTTATTCCTGAAAGGTCACCCCTACCCATCCAAAAAAATATACATTCATGTACGACAATAAAAGCCATAAAAAAAAATTAATCTCTGGGCTGATTTGATTTATTCAAAAACAAAACACTTGATCCGATACTGAAAACTCTAGTGAAACAGACAGATGTTTTCCGTTGATAATAATTTAACCTTAAGACCATTTTGGACAGAAAACATTACAAGATATTTAGTATTTCTTAGAAAATAAGTCAAAATATTTTTGCCAAGTATTTATTTTTAACAAATAAATAAAGCTAACTGCACACAGGGTCCTGCACGGTTTGGGTAAAAGTCCATCTATAGTTTTCCAGTTAGGAGTTTTCTCGTGGGCCTCCAGCTGGTGTGAATCCCTCGGTCTGCATCTTCTCTTTGTATTTTAGGAAGTCTCTCCTCTTAGTGAAATACTTCACCTGCCCAGAAAGATGAAAAAAAAAATAAAAAGGTTAAGAAAAGCCCAAATAAAGCAATACTTTATAGAAAGTACTTTAGAGTAGAAATTCTAATAAATTCATTGATAACCTCTCAGATAATCTCATTTAAAGATGAAAAATAACTACTTCTGACAGACAGGTGCAATGTTTTGCTACTTTGGAAATAAGATAACTATTGAATTTTTCATCCAGTGAGAAATACTGGAAAATAAAATTAGTTAGCATTAGCCGCAACAGTCTGGAAAGTGGTCTTTAACATCATAAGAGGGGCTTTTAGCTTCTTTTTTAGCTAACTACTTTTTCTAGGATTGCTTGCATTTCACTAGGGCTGAAACAATCGGATTAACCAATTATTAAAATAATAATCAACTATTTTAGTAATCAATTAATCATTAAATGGAGTATAGAGACTGTAAAACATGCCTTTAGCTGACAGAGCAACCCAGCAGTTAATTGAACCAAAATTGTAAAAAAAAAAAATATGTAAACATTTTACATTTAAGATAAAAGAAACTGATTTTTCTGTCAATATGCTCCATCCAGAACGTTTCAAGTGGAAAGGTTTTAGCTGTTTTAATTTAGTAAAAAGCCTTCTTTAGGGAACCTTCAGGCATCCCCAAACTCAGTCCTCAATGCCCTCTGTCCTGCAGGTTTTAGAGGTTTCCTTGCTCCAGCACAGCTGATTTTAATTGAAAGCTGATTAACAGGCTTTTGGTCTACTGCAATCATTATAACCAGCTGTGCTGAAGCAGAGAAACCTCTAAAACCTGTAGGACAGGGGACCTTAAGGACCGAGTTTGGGAATGCCTGGATTAATGTATTTTCAAAATAATCGTTAGCTGCAGACCCACATCTTACCTAATCCTTTTTTAAGATTGTTTTCTCTGAGTAAATCAGAGGTGGGTTAGCTGGAAGGATTCAGATCCCTTTCTTAATGTGTAACCCAAATCCAACTGAGCTAAAGACAAAGGGATGGTCAGAAATTTTCCACCCAGATTGATTAAATTACAGCATGTCATCCAGGTTTTGAAGCAGCATGAAGCCCCAAACCACCACACTGCCTCTTCTATGTTGGTTTGAAGTGACTAAGATGCTTTTAAGCAAATAAGAAATAAAATTTCTCTCTTTTTCCAGGGAAAAAGAGAAATATTTTTCTACTCTCATTACATTTATGTGACAAAAAAAAAACCAGAAGCTGAACTTGGGGTGACAGTTGCACCGGGTGTAGGAGTTTGCCCTGCAATCTGAGGGTTCGATTTCAGTGTTGTGTCCTTGGGCAAGACACTTCACCTGCATTGTCTACTGATAGTGGTCAGAGGGCCTGGTGGCGCCAGCGTACAGCAGCCCCGCTTCTGTCAGTGAGCCCCAGGGCAGCTATGGCTACAATGTAGCTTGCCACCATCAGTGTGTGAGTGAATGACTGAGTGTAAAGCGCTTTGGTCAAGTTTTCTTACTTGAAAAGAGCTATATAAGTACAGGCCATTTACCAAACTGCTGAATAGTTTTCATTTTCAGAGTTTTTAAGTATTTCTGTGTCCACTCTAGTATCAGCTGTTAACAAACAGGCTAATTTACCCACTGAGCTGGACATCTGGCCTCAAAGTCAGCCTGGAACTTCTGACAGGATTCAAGCCTGTCATTGTTTTCATCCAAACATTGCCAGAGCTGATCCCTTGCATCCCAGCAGGCTTTCCTCTCTGCAGAGTTTGGAGCTGCCATCCCTGAACACCTGTGGGAGACAGATGAACTTATTCAATCCCATTCTTTACAAACAGCTGCTACTTGGTGGCTAATATGAATTAATTATCAATCATTTTTAAATATATAAACAAAGTTTTGAGTACTTTATTATTAACTAAACCAAATAGGTAAAGAAGGGCTAATTTAATCACACAGCGGACAAGTTTGTCAACAATAACAGGGGGAAAAAAGCCAAACTATTAGCTGTCAATAATGTAGCTTCGGTGTTACTTACAGATTAATATGAAAATAAGCGAAATAAATCCTTTTTTCCGACTTTTTTCTCTCCTCTATCCTCCGTCACTCCATTAAGACAAAGAAAATTAGCTTCATATATTATCCATACTACACTTTTGTAACGATTGAAACGGAGAGGCGACGTGAAGGACAAGAGCAACACAGTCGCGCTTTGATGACGTCGGGGTGTGATTACGGCATTTGAGCAGGAGATGGCGCTGTTGTAACAGGAAAAAAAAAAAAAAAACTAACACCAGAGAAGTGATAGCGGAAATTAAGTAAAAGTAAAAAAAAAAAAAAGTTATTCTTTTAATAGAAACTCTATATTAAAAGTATTTAGACATAAATAACCGCTTTATTAACGTAACATAAAATGAAAAGTTAATTTTTCCTTATTATTCAAATATCAACTCAACATTCCCTTAGCAAAAAATACTTTATTCAGCTCTACTATAGGTATACTTGGCATTTACTTTTTTATAAACTTTATTTTATATACTTGAGAATTACATAGTAGAGTATACTTGGACTGAAAACTATACGTATAACTCTAAGTAGTACATTAATACTAAGACTTAAACCTATGCTTAAATACAGGGGCAGTTTTGAATCTGGTATATTTGTACTTATTTCTTCCACAAAGTACTGATATTAAAAATATATTTTCTTGAAATTTGGAACTAGGAAACCATACTTGTATACCTTAATTTCCATTTGGGATCAATAAAACTATTTTTGAATTGAATTAAATATACTTTAATAAACTAAGAAGTGAGTTACCTTTTACCCTAGTAATATAAAGATGAGCCTAATCGCTGCGTACTTCAATGTTTGATCTGACCATGTGACGGCATATACAAGTGTACTTTTGTAAAATTAAAAAGTGTCCTTGTTTATTCACAAATATCAAATTGGTATAATTTTAGATACCCAACAGGTACATGGTCTGTAACACACGTGGAACATATATGCAAGCATAATTAATTAAGTGAAAAAGTTACTTACATATAAATATATAAAAAAGCAACCAAAATGGAACTGAATAAAATTAGTTGATTTTTAGATGCTTTTTTAGCTCACATTCAAAAACCAACAAGCATCAAGAAAGTTGAATACAGCAGCTCTACTGTAAGACGCAGTGGTGGTAGCATCATGCTGCGGGGGCACTTTGTGTAGGTGGAGACAGAGTAACTGAGTATTTACTAGTATTTACTACCAGCATTGGTTGTCTGCATATTGAACACAAAATTAGAGTTTTGTTGCAGGATGTAACTTGAAACCGCATTCTGGCCTATATCTGCATCATGCGCAGCATTAACGCAATACCTGGATCCTTTGTTAGCCGACTCCCTGATTTCCAGTTTGACGGACTCCTTCTGAAACACGGGGAATTATCGTTTATATCTTGTATTTGAAGGGACAATCGATGCAGCTCCGGTGGATTTTCTAAAAGCAAGTCAATTGAGGCTGAAGCTAGTCATTCAGTGGGGCAACATACCTGAATAGGGTTACAATAGAGGCGTTAAGATTGCAGCAAATGGTTTCAAATATGAACTCAATGATAAAGGAATAAAACAATGAGGGGATTAAATGTTAGGAGGGAGGAATTGAGAATGATAGCAGTACGTGGGATGGATTACAGGTAAAAGAAGGTACTGATGAGAGGAATTATGACAAAATATTTAGAAATGGTTAAAGAGGCTGGAGGTGAAGGAAGGGTTGAAACGATAGCTAAAGGAATTAGGATTGAGAGGGAGGATTAGGACAAATTTTAAGAGAAGGAGAGAGGAAGGATGGAGACATTTCGGATTAGGATTAACTGCCAAGACCCTTAACCCCACACTGCTCCCCAGGCGCCCCAAGATGGCAGCCCACTGCTCCCCAAGGGGATGGGTTAAATGCAGAGGTAATAAAGGTTAATTATTATTTTTATTTATCCATAACAAGGAGGAAAGTGAGCCTGTCTTCATCTGTAGCATGAGAGAATTTTTAATTTAATCCCAGGAATTAAACAGGAGAATGACTGGATTTTCACAGAGTACCAACGTGAATGAAAAGGAAAGTTTTCATGACTCAATGTGTGTGCAACGTGTGAAGGCGGAGTGAAAATATGTGCTGCTAATGAACTCCTCTGGTCCCTCACTCAGCTGCGGTGATTGAAAACGGCCCCACTGGTTGCCATGGAGCCCAGCAGCAATCCAATTCTGTCTATGGGTTTCAACTCTTTGAAGGAAGAGAAAAAAACATGCACCCTGAAGCAGCGATGAGGCGTTCCCCCACTTCACTTGGAGTGGGTGTTGGTTTCTTCATCTATGTGTGTCTCTCAGAGAATTTCGCCGGCTTCTTTAGGAGCTGATTTCTCTTTATGCCTCGTTCTGTTTTCTAACCTCGCTTTAAATTGAATGTAGGTTCAGAGATTTCAAACTAAAACTACATCTCTCTCCCTCCCAGTGAGCCTTAATCAGATTTATCCCAACACTTTGGTGATGCCAGGACTCAGAACAACCCAGAATTCCGGCAGACAGACTGAAGTGATTTATAAAAGCGCTTATTGACTGCTTGGAAAGTTTGTGTTTGTGCAGCTAGGATTAAATGACTGGTGTTCTGTCAGATCAGCATCCGTTAAGTCCTTCCATCCATTAAGTGGTTCCAGCCTTACCTGTTGGTGGTGACAAAACACCTGAAGCTTGTTTGCCTTATAAAAGGAGGATTCAAAAACTGAATTGAATCAAATGTTATCATTTTCAAATGTTGTTTTTAATGCATGAGCATAAAGCTCATGAAGTTTTGATTTATAATTATAATTCTGCAAAGTTTTATTCTGAAAATCTCAAGTCTAAAGGATGACATATCGAGTTTACAACAAGGAACAAAGGAAAAGTATTTTACATTTATTGACTTGAATTTACTAATTCAAAAACCGAGATATACATATGTTTTACCATTTGCATTTGTTTGTTTAATGAGACATTCATATTTATGTATTTTTGATATTTTTTGCTCTAAGGTATGATTTTAAAAGCATGATCATGACCTCCAACTTGACTTGTGACTTCCTTAGGGGCCCTGACCCCTACATTGGGAAGCCCTGTATTGCTGGTTAGAGATAACAAAAAAAAAAGCTTTTAAATTGTATATTTCTAAATAAAGAAACATGTTTCTGCAAACAGTGATCTAAAATTAAGTAAAATGTAATAAAATCAGCATATTTTCCTTTGATTTGAGCAGGTAAATAAGATAAACTGCCATTGGAATGATAATCTTTTTTTTTTTTTTTTTGGAATGACTATCTTTCTTATGAAATAAGAAAGTTATTCATTTTTAAAGATGAATCATGTTTATCCATTGGTAAATGATCTTACTTACCTGAACAAATCAAGAAAAAGAAAAAATTGCTTAACTACCTTTGATTTTTTTAGTGAAGGAATTTAATATGAGGTGATTTAGACCCTGAACCAAATTAGGTTTGCATCAACTCACCATGTTTTATCAATAAAGAGAAACAAATCATTTCATTTATCATCATATCTCATCAAGCTGAGCTAGTAAGGAGAATAAATCAAAAGAACAGAGATGCTAAACATCACTTCCCCACATTTAATCAAATCACAGATTAGCGTCGATGGAAAACATGAATACAAATGAGATATTTTGGGACCATTAAACATTTTTATCCAGCCTCTGCAGCCTGCGGAAACCTTCCATGCATTAAAATCACATTTTTCTCAACAATAGGAACATTAAATATTATTAATCTTTTAATATATCCAGAGGATTAGTTCATGGAAGAACATCAGGGAAATCCAGATCTAATCCCAGAGGAAATTCTGAGTCCTGTTTATAGCAAAGCAGAAACCTGTTAGGTAACTGGACTATCAAAAAAGATGAGTAAAATATGTGAATATTTTACTCATAACAAGGATTTTATAATGAAATTTTTAAACTATCATTAAAATATAGGGTATGTTGCTCTGACATGCTGTCAGGCTTTTTTCCTCTCTCTGTTTTTAGCGTATTTAGCGTACTTGTGCTGTTAGCAGATTCTAGTTCTAGTTCCTCTACACTATAGTGTATCATTTTGAAAAGGAAATATATATATATATATGAAATAAAAAACTTATAGTATACTTATACTTATTCTAATAGTATAGTCTATAGTGTTATAGTATAGTGTCTTATAGTTTAGTCGACAGCGTTTCTATATTCAGCCTATATAAATACTTTTTAAAACTATATTTTGTTGAAGTTGTAGTTTTTTTTGGTGTGTTTTTTGAGGCATTTCTCTAAGAAGGGCCAGCCCTAAGCATACTTTAATCTCTTTCTGACAATAATATCTCTCGCTCCCATCAATAGTCAGATGAAAAGATCATTCACACACCTGCTATGAACTCATTGCGTTTTTGCTAACGTTTTCCATAGTCTCCTGTTTGTGTCTTTAAATCATCTATTGTTACTAAAAGTAATGAAATAAATAAGTAGGCAGTTTTATTTACAGCAAAAGTGACATCTGGTTTATATTTTTTGATTCAAAATCAAAACACCGGTGTGAAAAAAAATAGCTTTGATAGATTAAAATAATACATTTAATTATACTAGATAAATAAAAAAATATCAAGCATATCTTCTTCTCCTTATCTGTCAATCAGGGCCCATGACCCAATATTTCTAATTAGTTTTTTCATGTAGAAGTAATGATATGTACAAGATATTTTGATGTAAAAAAAAAAAAGTTTGATTTTTAACATTAA